GCATATACTGTAGAGTTTATCTGAGTTTTTCTTGTCAGTCTTTACTACATTGTTTTAATACATAAGTACTCAAATAATAGTCACAAAAATGCCATCTGCATTCCATACTTCATTTCATATTTAGTCAGAGGACATTATTTATATAGCGGAATGTGATGCTAAAGTTCTAGCTTCTTTTTCAATCTTCCTAAAAAGCTCCTGTGTGAAGTCTGCCTCGTGTGAATAAAGGAACATGTCGGCAAAGAAAAGGAGCACAATTGATTCCCATGGGAATGTCATCTTTTGACATCAAGCATCCTGATAATGTCAGTTTCATTATCCCTTGGTATCTTCTACCTCTCTTTTCAGAGTATTTTTTTATGAATCAAAGTGGGTTTTTTTTATTTGTCCCTCCCTAAAACAAGATATTTGTATCTACGTTGGCCATTCTTTTTATACTATTGCACGAGGAAAGATACTTAGATTGTATGTACTCAAACTTTGAGTTTCCAAGTGAATTGTCAATACCCAATTCTTTTATCAAGCAATTGTCGTAATGTTATTTAAACACGCGTTATCTGCGAGTATAATAGCATACTTGTCAAGCAGTACAAACCAACATATACATATTGTTAATTTTCATTTTTGTACGGTGATGTTCCTTTAGCTTCATCTTACGGTGTTCATTTATCCAACTTGTTCGCCATGCCTGTGTCAGTAATGGCGTTATAGAATATATGTATAACTGGTAAATTGATTAGTCCGGGATTTCGTTACCACAAACTACTTCAAACCTTAAATAAATTATTTTATACATACAAAATGTTAGTTTGGAAATTTGACTTTACCTGTAGAAAACGTATTACAAACGGGATAGCACATCCTCATTTTTACGGTGATGTTGTTTATAGAGACAGTAAATTTAGGTACGATTCACGAAAAGTTATTGGTCCTTTGAATGCACTAACTCTAATATGTAATAAATCTAAATAAAGCCAACAGTAGTTTGCCGATTTTCAAATCTCATAAATAGATTATGAAGATACAAATCAAGCTAACAAACAAAAACTGAGGGGAGCGCAAAAAAACACAAAAAGAAGCGATTAACATAATAAAAAGACCTTTCAATATGTTTTTTGTTATGAACTCAAACATTACTAAATATGTATCCTTAAACAGTTGTGAACACTTACGGTCCTATATCCTGTCGATATTTCTATTTTGGCACTGCATAAGGTCTTGTTTTAAAAAAAAAAATTATGAGGCGAAGAGACCCCGAGTCCACTAAAAAACCACGCTTCTGATATCATATTTTTACAATGGAAGAAAACTGTTCCAAACAAAAATCAAATCGAAGACAACTGTTTCAAACAAACTTATTGTAGATGTATAGAAAACATAATAACGCAATTCGATAATAAATAGCAAAATGAATGTGGACCCTCACCAAACACAAAAAAATGATGAAGAAATGGGAAATATGAAACAGATCCCCAAATACTAGAAAGGCAAATATACTAACCGATCAATTTCGATCGGTCTTTCCGTCAATAAGTAAACACAGAAAACAACATGAAGATCCACCAGAAAAAAACCCAGACAGTGAAAATATTTGCATCACAAGTAAGAAAGTTACTAGGATTCCATCGATGTCGAGTTGGGTTACCATGATAATCTGTATTACGAGTTGGTCTCTTACTCTACAATGTAGATGACATAACAGAGGAAATTAACCCATAGTTGAGTCTTTTAGCAGATAACAACATTGTATACCTTACAGCTACATCAAAGGACAGTACTCTCCAGGACTGGACTAATTAGCTGTCTGTGACACAAAAGAGAGGCGGGTTATTCGAATTCATAAGTCAAAGACAAACTGACGCCATGGTAAAAAAAACAGAAAAGAAAAAAAGATATAGTTACTGAGGAACAAACCTCATCCTGAAAAATTAACCTGTCCACTGGATGGTAAACACGAGTTGAGGACCATATAACATATATAGAGATATATACTCAATGCAACTAATCCATACACCAAATATTGTTGATCTATCATGCACTGTTACATAGTAACAGGTTTTATCTTAAAGTGGAGCTTGAGGTCTCATCACAAGAGTGCACATGCGGTAATGTCCCGCCTGCTTATCTTATCACGAGTGAATTATGTTAAAGTCTGAAATTTGAAGGTTTTACTGTAAGTATAACATAAAATTAATATTTTTAATGATACATATAAAAGAGATCAAGATCAGATGAACCCTACTAAACAGACATGTACAACTTCCAATCATGCACAAAATATAGTTAGCCTATTGTTTATAGATCCTTATAGTGTCCGAGAACAACTTATTAACAAAAAGTGAACATTGACCAATAAACCAGAAAATGAGGCCAAGACCTGCCAGTCAACATGTGCACCATGCAATCATTTTATTTTCATACACCAAATATAGTTGACCTTTTAGTATCTGATAAATTGACAAAACCATGAAAACTTAACATTGACTAATGAACCATAAAAATGAGGTCAAGGTTAGATGAGCCTGCCAGACATGTACACCATTCAATCATTCCATACACCAAATAGAGTTGAGGCATCGCTTATGGTATCTGAGAAACAGGCATAACCATAAAACTGTTTCTCAGATACCATAAGCGATGCCTCAACATCGACTAACAAACCATGAAAATGAGGTCAAGGACAGATGAATCGTGCCAGACAGGATACTTATATTTTGGCATTGCACAAGGTCAAGTTTTTCTCTGACTGTGAATGACATCTTTAACCTAAATCCATTGGATGTTGGATGTTTAATGGTTTATATTAGTCTTACATGGAAGATTTATATATTAGTTGTTACTGGCATTGAACTAGCTTTCAGTAACTACTAGTACTCTCAGATCTGTACTTCGTGTCTTTTATATTTTTGTTGGTTTTGTTTGTGCTTTGTATCAATCTGATGAGTTGAGCACTTTTTAACTGATTCTTATAGTTTGTTCTTATGTGGTACTGTTACACAACTCTCCCAAGATAGGGGTGGGTTTGGTGCCAGCAAATGTTGTTTAACCTCACCACATTCTGTATGTGCCTATACCAAGTCAGGAAATTCAGTGGTTGTTGTTTGTTGCTGTATATCATATTTGTTTTCCATCTATTGTTTGTACATATATCAGGCCATTAGTTTTCACGTTTGAGTTGTTTTACAATTTGTCATTTTAGGACCTTTTATAGCTTTTTTACTTTGCAGTATGAGTTTTGCTCATTGCTGTACAATAAACTATAGTTGTTAACTTTTAGTCATTTGGTCTCTGGTGGAGAGTTGTCACATTGGCAATCATATCACATCTTCATATTTATATATGCACACCAAATATAGTTGATCTATTGCTTAAAGTACGTGGAAAATGGACAAAACCATGAAAACTTAACATTGATAATGAACCATGAAATGAGGTTAAGGTCACATGAAACCTGCCAGACATACATGTACACTTAACAATAGTTCCATACACCAACTATAGTGGCATTGTTGCTTGTAGCAAGAAGTTATACAAGTCTTACTATATAAATACTTGCTTGTAGTATCTGAGAAATAGATCAAACTGGAAAAACTAACATTTTCCAATGAACCATGAAAGAAGGAAGGTCAGAAGAGGGCATTTAAAAAGTGATAAAGTGATAATGCTGCCTTACAACATGCAAGAAAAGTAATATTTTTGTCTTCTGCAACTTTCCTACCAGGCAGGACAAAAACCATTCAGATTTTCTTAATTTCATGAATCAATAAAATTACATGGTCATACTATAGCAATCTTTTCCACATATAGGGTAGATAAATTATTTTTAAATAGCCTATTCCGGAGAAAAAATGAGAAAGTTTTCAAATCAGACGTTTTATTCCATTAAACAAGTCAATTTTCGAGGAGAAATGCTGAAACACATTGTACGCACGTCTACGCCAGGTAATATTAGAGTTTATCTTAACAAAAAATAAAAGGGGAATGTGTCCATGGGCATGTTGCATAACATTATAAAGGGACATAACTCAAGATCTGTAAAAGTGATGCTACCCAAATATGTACTTGATCTGAGTTTTGTGGTAATAAGCATTGTTTATAAGTTTCATAACATTTAGTTGAGGCAAACTTAAGTTAGAGAACGGAAATGAAAAATTCAGCAATTTTTCCATTTGTAAAGGGGCATAACTCTAGAATGGTAAAAGTGATGCCACCAAAATTCAAACTTAATCTGTGTTTTGTGGTAATGACCATTGTGCATAAGTTTCATAACATTTGGTTGAGGCAAACTAAAGTAAGAGAACGGAAACAAATATTTCAGCAATTTTTCCTTTTGCAAAGGGGCATAACTCTAGAATGGTAAAAGTGACGCCACCAAAATTCAAACTTGATCTGTGTTTTTATGGTAATGAGCATTGTGTTTAAGTTTCAAAATGATTATGAAGATTCGCAAAGAAACCTTTCTTCTTATAGTTTTCAGTGGCGGATCCAGAACTTTTCATAAGGGGGGGGGGCCCGCTGACTGACCTAAGGGGGGGCTCTCTCCAGTCATGCTTCAGTGGTTCCCTATATAATCAACCAAATTTTTCCCACGAAAGGGGGGGCCCGGGCCCCCCCCCATGGATCCGCCTATGGTTTTATAATTGATCTAATAGGTATGAAGTGACATAAAATTAACTCATTTGTGGAAAGGGTAAGCCATTGGTGCAAAGCCATTGGTGCAAATGTTTTGAAACTGGATACAAAAATTCCATGTTGAGGATTTTTCTGGATGCAACTTTTTGTAGGCCAGCACGAGGTCATTTTGTCTTGGTGAAATTTAATTCTTTATTCAAATAAATAACACAGTGACTGCTGCCAAATTAGCATACATTTGCCTCACCTTCAAATTGTTCATCACCTGATGCAAGACAATTATGGGGAGACAGGTATGTTCAATTCTAAAAGTAAGGATAATCTAAAGAAAGAAAATACTGAAAGGGGAAAAGAATAAACAAACAATAGACAATTAACTGGAATTCTATTATTTCTTTTGTCAGTTACAAAAACAAATACACTTCAGTTATACTGTCAAAACCTGAATGTCTAACGAAAATATTTTTCTTAAGCCAGTACAGTCATTTCTATACTTTAAAAATCCGCTGCTACTTAAGTTTGGTGAATAAGTTTTTTGCTACCTGAAATGAGAAAAAAAATAATTGTGAAATAATTACTCCCTCTGTCAGCGTTTTCTAAAGAATTTATACATATTACCTATACTACTAAATCATTTCACAACTTTAGTCGTTCTGTTAAGTTTAAAACTAAACCATCTAGGTATAACTTTTATTTTATAACTACATGTGCTTCCAAACATTTTGTTAAACTAAAACAGCTATATCCATATGGTTTGTAGTTGGACAACGCATATACATGTATATGTACATAATTGGCTTTAACTTTTGCAACTAGAATAAGTTCCTTATTACAATATCTATTATATTACAATGTATATGTTAAAATATATATTTTAAGCTTTTTATAGTAGTGTGTAATAATAATATAATATATCTTCTGTTTCTATTGTATTATTTTACTAGCAAAATCTTGTAAATAGGTTCATGCAGTTATGTTCACTATAAAACATCCTTGCAAGTGGAAAAGAAGATTTCTGACAAGGCTAATAATACTCAGTAAATTTGATATCGTCCTGGGACAGATTTGGCATTTATTCATGTGCATGAGTAATGTTTATATCTTGAAAGGAGCATGATATATTTAAATATGTAAAGAATACCAATTTCTGTACCAAATATATGATTGCAGTCAATTATATACTATAAAGCCCCTCATTTTCAAAGATTGAAAGTACAAACAAAATATTTTACGTGTATTTGAGGTCTATATTTATATGACTGTATAAGTCAAGGATATATAATCAAGTTTAACTTTTAACCCAACTTCTTTAAGTGCAAGGGATCCTTGAGACAGAGTAAAAAAGATATGCTACTTTTTTGCTAGTAATAAAATATAAAAGAAATAGAAATAAATATCTCATAAAAACTTTTGTATTGTATTTTAAAAAAAAAATATCAATTAAACTTGAGTTATTACATCACTGTTATGCACTATTTGATCCAGTAGGAGAAATCAAATGAAACACACATTTATAGACATGCAAACTATTGTAACACAAAGGAAGATTAAATCTCTAAAACAGATATAGTTCCCTTCAATTGGAACCAGAGTTTCAAGCTCAAAATTGAGCATTACCAAAGTGTCCAGATCTTTGATCTACAGGACATCATAAGATCTTGAACAATTGACATGAAATTTCTTGATAGCATAAATATAATCATGAATAACTTAGTGAATAAAATAACAGAACTCCATGAAGTGTGACAAAAGTGGAATGTTCAAAGATAATTCATGTACATTTCTTATTAATTTGACACCTTTATCTTTCTAATTCTAACATTTACTAAACTTACACAATGATCTACACAATGGACATAATCTAAAACTTCTTCATAACATGTTTCTTCTGTTTCTTTTCGACTGCTGACTCTTGCATTACAAGAATCTAATGCTTCTTTATATTTGACACACTCTGCAGTCGTCTGGCAGGATTCTTTTATAGTTACTTGAATGTCCTGTGATCATTCATATAAATAATATTAGGTATACATGTTGGAATGAGCAATTTTATACTTAATGATTAGCTCATGCTTATGTCTGAAATGAAACATTCGTTGGTTCTTGTCTTGGCCAATTCTAACATCTATTTTTTTCAAATTCAAATATTTATTGGATAAAGCACTTATGACAAAAATGACATTTTTCACATTACTGCAATAAAAAAATTATTGTTAACCTGGAGCCAAAAACAAAATCGAAACTGCTATATTTTTTTTTAAAAAGTTGAATCTGAAACTATATATATATACACGATATAGACTAAAATTTACTATGTAACACTGTAAAAAGGTTTTTGTAAAATTTCTAATCTTAAAATTATATGTTAGAGATATACTTGTCATTTCAGTCTTAATTTGTCATGAATTTTTCAAGTTCAGAAAAAATTAACTCTTGAGTCTTATGTCACTTTATAAACCTAATTCAATGTTATTGTTTATGTTAACATGGTTAATAAAACTCTAATCAACTGTTTCATATTTTTCTTTGTGTTTATCAATCAGGTAATAAGATCAGGATATGAAGTTGACACACCCAAAGTGATTAATTTTTACTCTTAATAACCTACAGCTTGGATACTCAAATCAACCAGTCAAATAAATGTATCCAAGTTGGTAAAAATGATAAATAAAAGAGGCTTTACAATGTATATTTGTTGACTGATGTTAGTTGAAGGTAGACTAATTTGAAAACTTTAAAACCTTAAAAAAAAAAAAAAATAAAGCACTCTGTCAGAAGATATTAAAATTTTGAAATTCTAAAAGATAATATATACCCAGTCCAAGATACATGTTTTTGTACATGTAGCAAGGCAACAATCAGAGGTTATCATAACTTTTTCTGGAAAGTTTTCTGAACTATCATCTTATCCAATGTAGGTTTAGAAAATCATTAGACTTTGTGCAAAATAATTTGTTTATTCACAAAATAAAAATGATAATAACAGAATATTGTCAAACAAAAATACCTCTGGTTCATCATCTTCATCATCGTCTGCTGGAGCATCATCCTAAAAAAACAAAGAATAATCAACCATTATTTTTACCATGTACTTAAATTGAAGAAAGATGAACTCAGAAACATGTCATCAACAGATCAACAGATGACATTTCTGAAACATAACAATGTACATGTATTCATTAATTCTAATTACAAAGACATATATATCTATATTATTGATACTTCAAAAAAGGTATATGAATGCCTTCTGCTTGAATCTGATCTTTTACTTTTGTTATTAATTGAGAGTTTTTTTGTTGTTTTTTTGGAGGGGCAGGGGATTTACATGAACACAATTTGAAAGATTTTGTCTGTGACGTACATGTTGTTGTAAATTATATTAGAGGGAGAGTAGGCTACTGTTCTATATTTTAATCACACACATATTACTAATAAGACATAACGTTAAGGGAAAATAACCATGAAAAATAAATAACAACCTGGGTTATTGGACAAATACTACTTAATCACCCAATTTGATTTTAATAGGTGACCCATTGACTGAACAAGTGTTGATTTCTATCCCTGAAATTAATCTGTATGGTCATTGTAACAGTTCACCGGGAAAAGTTTGAGAATACCTTTCAGACACCTCATCAATCTTATATGCCTAATGGTACCAGTTAAAGAACCAGTACATGTACATTGAAGGTTTAATACAGATATTTAAATCCAGGGGCGGATCCAGCCATTTTTAAAATGGGGGTTCCCAACCCAGGATAAAGGGGAGGGGGAATCCAACTATATGTCCCCATTCAAATGCATTGATCGTCAAAAAAAAAGGGGGTTCCAACCCCCAGAACCCCCCCCCCCCCTGGATCCACCACTGGGCACTTCTTGCATATCTAGTAGGTAGCCTTAGGTTACATTTTGAGGCAAACACATTGCAGTTGGTACCACTCAAGACACCCATCCCAAACTATAGATCCATATGTATGCATGTTTATACTGCACACTAACAGTTCTGTCCTGCTGTGTTCTACATCAGCCATATCTATTTTTTTTTTTATAATTTTCCAAGTCTCATTGAAAAATACTGTAGATCTGTTTGAGAAAAATGTTCTTGTTGATCAATTTGTAGGAAATTTCTCACCTGGAACAAATTGTTCCTCTGAATAATAATAGTGAGTTGTTTAATCCATCCCTACTTCGATCAGTGCCTGCCTGAATATATTTTGTTGGTAAACAAGAACTTCAGGTAACAATAAACTAGAGGCTCTAAAGAGCCTGTGTCGCTCACCTTGGTCTATGTGAATATTAAACAAAGGACGCAGATGGATTCATGACAAAATTGTGTTTTGGTGATGGTGATGTGTTTGTACATCTTAATTTACTGAACATTTTTCCTGCTTACAATTATCTCTATCCATAATTAACTTGGCCCAGTAGTTTCAGAGGAGAAGATTTTTGTAAAAGATTACTAAGATTTACGAAAAAATGGTTAAAAATTGACTGTAAAGGGCAATAACTCCTAAAGGGGTCAACTGACAATTTCGGTCATGTTGACTTATTTGTAGATCTTACTTTGCCGACATTTATTGTTTTTTACAGTTTATCTCTATCTATAATAATATTCAAGATAATAACCAAAAACAGCAAAATTACCTTAAAATTACCAATTCAGGGGCAGCAACCCAACAACGGGTTGTCCGATTCATCTGAAAATTTCAGGGCAGATAGATCTTGACCTGATAAACAATTTTACTTCATGTCAGATTTGCTTTAAATGCTTTGGTTTTTGAATTAAAAGCCAAAAACTGAATTTTACCCCTATGTTCTATTTTTAGCCGTGGCGGCCATCTTGGTTGGTTGACCAGGTCACGCCACACATTTTTAAAACTAGATAACCAAATGATGATTGTGGCCAAGTTTGGTTTAATTTGGCCCAGTTGTTTCAGAGGAGAAGATTTTTGTAAAAGATGACTAAGATTTACGAAAAATGGTTAAAAATTGACTATAAAGGGCAATTACTCCTAAAGGGGTCAACTGACCATTTCAGTCATGTTGACTTATTTGTTAATCTTACTTTGCTGAACATTATTGCTGTTTACAGTTTATCTCTATCTATAATAATATTCAAGATAATAACCAAAAACAGCAAAATTTCCTTAAAATTACCAATTCAGGGGCAGCAACCCAACAACAGGTTGTTCGATTCATCTGAAAATTTCAGGGCAGATAGATCTTGACCTGATAAACAATTTTACTTCATGTCAGATTTGCTCTAAATGCTTTGGTTTTTGAGTTACAAGCCAAAAACTGCATTTTACCCCTATGTTTTATTTTTAGCTGTGGCAGCCATCTTGGTTGGTTGGCCGGGTCATCGGACACATTTTTTAAACTAGATACCCCAATGATGATTGTGGCCAAGTTTGGTTCAATTTGGCCCAGTTGTTTCAGAGGAGAAGATTTTTGTAAAAGATGACTAAGATTTACGAAAAATGGTTAAAAATTGACTATAAAGGGCAATTACTCCTAAAGGGGTCAACTGACCATTTCGGTTATATTGACTTATTTGTAAATCTTACTTTGCTGAACATTATTGCTGTTTACAGTTTATCTCTATCTATAATAATATTCAAGATAATAACCAAAAACAGCAAAATTTCCTTAAAATTACCAATTCAGGGGCAGCAACCCAATAACAGGTTGTCCGATTCATCTGAAAATTTCAGGGCAGATAGATCTTGACCTGATGAACAATTTTACCCCATGTCAGATTTGCTCTTAATGCTTTGGTTTTTGAGTTATAAGCTAAAAACTGCATTTTACCCCTATGTTCTATTTTTAGCCGTGGCGGCCATCTTGGTTGGTTGACCGGGTCACGCCACACATTTTTAAAACTAGATACCCCAATAATGATTGTGGGCAAGTTTGGTTAAATTTGGCCCAGTAGTTTCAGAGGAGAAGATTTTTGTAAAAGTTTACGGACGACGGACGACGGACGCAGGACGACGGACGCAAAGTGATGAGAAAAGCTCACTTGACCTTTCAGGTCAGGTGAGCTAAAAATTATAATATTGTTACCTGCAATTTCCATATGAAATCAGGTCCCTGTTTGGTAATACATTTTGGCAATAAGTCTGTGATGTAATAAACATTATTTCTTATTGTTACTTTTTGTGGGTAATCATAGCCAGTGCCATGGATATATTATAACAATAACATGTACCTTTTAATGAATATCCCACATTATGACAAAAGTTATGTATTGTGGAGAAATAGGCCCCTTCACAGTTAGTGCAGCCATGTTGAATAGGGGGCAGATTCATAATGGAGGTAAAAATGGTTTGAAAAATATGGGAAAACATCATTAAAAGAGAACAGTTGCTTGGAAACATGCATAGGATATCCCGTACTACACTAGCGGATTTAGGGGGGTGGGGTTCGCAAAACCCCCCCCCCCCCCCCCCCCGCTTGAAAATCTTAAAATAATTTTTGTATTAACTATTTCTTGTTTTAATGTTATCTTTACTATAAATTGAATATCCAGCAATGAATAGGGTGACACGTTGTCGCTACACTCCTTTAAATATACACGTCATAATTACATTGGCCTGAGGGAAACTTAATTGATAATTAGAGGATGAAAGGATTTAATTAAGACAATCCAAGGCTGCTATCCCTATATTTTATTACTTTGTTGGTTTTATGATTAACACGACGTTTTCTGTTAGCTTGATTTGAAGACAAATACTTTTTCACCTTACCATATCCATAAGAATTTTTTTTAGAAAATGACACCAGCTGAATTTAAGGATATTGCAAACTTTATTTCCACATCTGTACCTAGTGCTCAAATGTATAGCATTCTAAATAAAAACTGGAATCCACCTAGTTCTTTTCCTTTTCATAAACAAGAAATGTACGGGTTAAAAAGTTCGACGACAACCCCGGACAGTTTGTTAAAAAAATGTTCAGAATTGTGTTAAGCAAATGGTGAATGTTAATCCCCCCCACCAAAAAAAAATACCACCAAACAGCCTTATTAAGATCACAAGACTTGACCAACACACATGATAAGACGTCTAGTGGAATAGATGAAAGGGCTGATACAGCTATTGCAAAACGGGTGGATACAATCTGTAATTAAATAATTAAACTAATCTAAAAAGTTTATTTTGAGTAACCATATGCCGGATGAACAAAAAGTGTGCCAATTATTGAAAAAAACATATTGTTTGGTATAACAAGAAAACTTCTCTAATGTTCAAAAACATTTCTCACAAAACCCCCCGCTTTAAGCTCTGGATCCGCGCCTGTACTATCAGTATCATACTATTTCCACCTCAATATGGCCGAACTAACCATGAAGTGGCCTATTATGCTCTCTTGCAAATAGCTGTCTAGAGAAAGTTCTTTTCTGTAGCTATTTCAATAAACTCAATATAAATACCAGGATTGAAATTTTGAACGCAAGACGCCAAATTCCGTTTTGCTTGAATCCAAAAAGTTAAAAAGATCAAACAAAGTGCAGAGTTGAAGAGCATCAATGAAGCACAATGCATACACCTAAATTTCCTTTTATTGACGTCTAACTGAAATATTTGAAGTCAAGGACACAGAGCAGTCAAAGGGCATATGATATTTGAAGAATGTTTTCGTTAGAAATCAGGTAAGGTGTTAAAAAACGAAAAGTTTCGTCTTCTGAATCCAGTTACTAGTTTTACATTCATCTTTTACCTGTACCTCAGGGTCCTTTAGGGCAACGGAGTTTTCTCCAAGGGTCATTTTGGAGTTGAGATTGTGAAGGAAAGTTGATATGCAACTTAACAATGTACACCGTTTCAGACCCCTTCAAACGTTTAGAAGACGTATTTAAAGAGCAGATCAGAATTAGGATTTTTGAAAAAATGCAATTTATGGGATCGAGAAGCGCCGAAAACACCAAATATCAAGAAACAAAGAAAAATAAAAAAGGCCTAAAATAATGCTTTAAACAACTGACTAATTATTGTAATAAAATCATAACCAATATTAATTGAATACTCAAGAAAGATACTAATTAAATGCCATCTTGATTATCTGCTCATGAAATGACTACTCCCTGTCGTGACGTCAAGAGTAGCGGGCATTGTAAAAACAGCTGAAAAGGCCTACAGCATAAACCATTCATATACCTTTACACACAGTAACAAATACGTCAAATTTACAGCTAGTCATCACCTGAACTGACTATTTTTATTCACAACATGTTGCTCATTTGAACAAAATAGAAGCAGCAATGTCAATGAATTCAAATGATGCTAAATATGCTAAAAGAAAGCTGGATTTCCAAGACCAACCGTTTCATTTCAAGACATTTTACTTGGACATCAAGGCGGAAACGGTGAAGAGGAAAGTCATCAGAAGAATTAGAGAACTCGGCGGAACTGTTGAAGGCTTTCTATCAAAAGATGTTCACTTAGTTATCACTGACAAGAAAAATGGAGAGTTGGAAAGAAAATCAAATAAAGAAGTTAAAACAATAGAGATCAGCAATCTTAGTAGAGGTATGTATAAATTTTGCCGAGACTTCTACTGTAATAGTAGTCTTCGGTTTTGCAAGCTTTGTAATATTATGACTTACCCATAGACCCAAAATCACTGCTGTCATTTAGTTTGTCGGTATGGTCAGATCATGTTTTTGTACGTCATATGAATTCGTACTAAAAAATTGCATGCTTTTTCAATGGAAAATTGTGACGTCACAATGCATTCTTAATAGTACGAAAAACCCATGAGACGAGGATAAGTACTAGTCTGTTCATTTTGTTGAGTTGACACAACTTTAAATGAACAGGCAGCAGAACCTATGATTTTAAAGAAATTAATTATGTTATATTTGACCTTTTCGAATAAGCTACATTAGATTCATTGATGTCAAACAATCAGTTTTGCATTGTAGCTGTAGGCATGTTCTCTTGTAATGTCAATATTTTACAGGAACTTTGGTGATTTGAGTAATCATGGTATTGATGGTAATGCCTAATGGTGTATAAATAGTGATAAGTATAAATATAAGAAGATGTGGTTTGATTGCCAATGAGACAACTCTCCATCAGAGACCAAATGACATAGAAGTTAACAACTATAAGTCACTGTACAGCCCTTAACGATGAGCAATACAAAGTAGAAAACAACTAACAAAAAACACAGACTGGACGTGGCAGGATTTATACATCCCCACAACAAAAAAGACAAAAAGTACAGATCTGAGAGTACTCGCATGACCAAATATTCAATCAAAGTTATACTGTTGGACGTGTGATTAAGGAACAGAATGTCTGCTAAGAACAGATTATTACATTTAATCAATTTTGTAAATATTTACCACATTCTCACGTACTAGGCTCACATGTTAGATTTAATCACCTGCATATTGTTGAAAGTTAGTAGGGACATAGTATACAGACGCTGCTGTGGATATACATGTAGTAATACATGTAGTTACTGAGCATGTATTTGTCAGAAATACAACAATACTCAGAGATCATTTCATAGAGATCCTGCATACTTGTCATCATATTCATTTGACCATAGTCATGATAGTATACAGTCAGTTTGATTTAATAAATTTTATGGTACATGTAGCTACATGTATAAGACTTTGACTATGTTGACAAGATTTGGTAGGTTGGAAGAAGTATTTTTTATTGAATTTCAGTATAGACCATTCTCCATTGTTTTAGAAATAATCTGAAAAACCCATCCATTTGAATCTTTGATCTATTTTTTGTTTACTATTGTAATACAATAGCACCTCGTGAAAGCAACTCTTCTGAAAATATTTGACAGTTAGCTCTTGTTTGATTGTTTGCCATCTGTGTAGTTGACCAAAGTGTTCCCTCATTTTGATTCTACCATTTTGCATGGGTATAGCATAATAGGGACTCTGACATCAATATCATTCCAAATCCAGAATCCTTATTTAGATACCCATTCCCAATTTTGTCACTTATCTTTTTTTGTTCATTCCAACAGTTCCTTTTATTTAACATTTATAGAAACCCAGTATATAATGCCTATTGAAGAAATACCACCTTTACCTTCAGCATGTTGAAATGAAAAGAATAACGGCAAATAATACAAAAGCTCAGAATACACGTTTATGTAATCTATGTTTATACTGTACACACAATTTTATTCCTCATTTGCACAGCTGCGGGGTGCATTTCCCTACATTGTAGTGACATTGTACTGGTTGATGGGAAAAGTCCATGGCATATTTCTATACCCAAATCGAGTTAAGTCAACCCTTCAGGTCTTTAACTTTTTATTCTAGATTGCTTTTTTTTGGTATTTAATACTTTTTATGATTTCTCAATTGTGTTTCAGGAAGAGCTTTATTGTTGAAAGCAAATGCACAGAGTAATAAGAGAAGATCATCAGTAGGTGGGAATCATATTACCCAGAATGCTTTAAATCTTGGTGTACAGGTGGAGCAAGCTAATATTTTCCTTCGAGATTCAAATAAATTTATTGATGCCTTGAAAAAAACAAAGAAGACAAATGAACTTGATGGAATAACACCTTTAGAATGGACAGAAAGTGAAAAAGAAAACACATGTTGCCTCAAAATTGAAGATACAGAACAGTTGTATAAACCCCTGATAAAACATTTTGAAACATTTCCTACATTATTTTATAATGAAGAAGTGGCATCACCATTTGTTAAAGGTGTTGTACTAACAAAACAAGCAGAAAAAACAGTCAATAGATATTCTACAGCAAAGAAAACTGTGACCTACAATAAAGGTGGTTTCTGTGAGGCATGTGATTATTGGTACAAATGTTCATTAAGGGAACATATCAAAAGTGCAAAACATGAAAAGTTTGTTAAGGATCAAACAAACTTTGATCACTTAGATACTGTAATAAATAAATTGCCTTCTTTCTCAGATTTCTTTGTCAAATTGAACAAAATAGCAGGGAAAGAATCAGTGTGTGATAAAACAAAAGGTCATCAAGCCTCTCTGTTTTCTAGTTTATTGATAACCAATAGTCACCAAAGTTCACTAGAAACAAAACCATTTGAAAAGAGAGTCAAACTTAATGAACAAGAAATTTCGTCTCTGAAGACAGAATGTATATTTGAGCGTAATAATGTTTCAGCTAATGTTTTAAAACACAGCACATCAGATGATACAATAGTAAAAAATATGGATACTGAAATGCCTTCTTTATGTAATGAACTTTTAGAAAATCATAATGAAGAAGAAATATCAGATTGTGCTATGCCAAATTTGTCATCATGTATTGTTCAAACCATAGATATATTAGACAGTGAGATGCCATCACTTCATAAAGAACGTGACACTAACACACAAGACTCTGGTACTGGTCTAGATATACAAGACAGTGAATTCCGTGATATTTCCAAGTGTGATATAACTGATAAGAATACAATAAAAAGAACAAATAGTGATTCTGCTTTACCACCTGAGGAGAATTTTCCCATACAAAATGTATGTTGTACACCATCCCTTGGCATTGATTATCATAATGACAATGCTGTTTTCATGGATGATATAACTCACAAATCTACCAATACATTAACCTCAGTACAAAATGTTACCTCCAATGTACGCAAGAAATTTTCAAAGATTTCTTTGTTTGAAAACAATCAAGATATTTCAGAAAACTGTGATAATTTTTCTAGTATCAATGACAGATACTTCCAAGAAAAAAGCATTGTTTCTCCACAAAAGGTTGAAAAATCATTTTGTTTCTCTGAATTATCATCTCCCACCTCTAGAGGCACTGGTCAAAGTAATTTTAAAGACTTGGTCACAAACTGGATTCATGAAATAGAAAACTCTGCACATATTCCTAAAGAAGACATGTGTGACCACAAAACAAACAATGATAATGATATTAATTCTGAAGCTACAGACATGACAGAAGAATATAATCCTGAGGACTACCATAATATGTTGTTAATGAACAGAATGGAGAAAAAACATGACAAAAGTCAAGTGACAAAAGAAGTTTTTAATGGTTACAGTAATATAAATAATGAAAACAGTTGTTCAAGAGATAGTGTTTCACTGATATCTATGCCTGAAACCCCTGAAACAAGGAAAACAACTTTTTCTGGGTGTAAATTTGGAATCATGGATGATTCTAACTCAACACAAGATATTACTCTATGTGCAAGTGATTCAAACACAAGTGTTTACAGTCTGATTTCTGAATGCACCCCATTAAATCAAAAGAAAACTCTTTATAGTGGACAAGAAAGTTGTAAAGGTACACAAGTTACTCCTCATTCTCATGAAAATTTAGATTGTGAAAATATTGGTTTAAGTTCAAAACTTGAACCCATAAAAATCAAACTAAATTTAAGTGAAATCAAGAAAAGTGAAAAGAAAGCTAAAAGAAAAGTCAAAGTTAGAAGAAGAATATTTCCTGACAATCAAAAAGAAAATTATGAATCTTTTTATCAAATGCATCAGCAGGGTGAAATGAAGATCAAGTTGTGCAAAGTGGCAAAAACGCCAGTGCAAAAGAATGGTGACTTAATGTCATATTGGAAAGTTAGAAAAAGTGGAGGATGCCGGCTTGTGTTTAGCTCTGAAAAAAGAAAAGAAAATGAAACTGGAAGTAAAACTGGAGACATCTGCAGAAAGAGAGCAGTTTCTATTTCTGACTCTGACTCTGAGAAAAGAAAAGCATGTCACCTGGAAAACGACCACTCAGAAAAGTTAAGGAAAAGAAGAAAATGCATCTATTTACAGTTTTTCTGATTTGATTTAAAATTTTTTTTAAGATAAGTGGTATAATGAATATGTTTTATCTTGGAGTAAAAATGATTGAATGTTTTGCATAGAATTGTGTCAATTTTGCTATTGAGATTTTTTATAGGATTTACATTTTTAGAGCATTTGTGATTTTACATGCAATCAAATGTATCCATACAGTAGTTCTTGATTAGGAGCTGGCAGGTGGTATTCTTCTCGCTTTTGATACTGTTCAATGAAAAATAATACTGACTCTTTACTAATCATAGACATTAATTTCAGTCAATGAGTTGTATGGACTTCATGGTCCAATATTTACATCTTCTTTTCTCAGTATTTATTCTTAAATCTGTAAAAAAAAACAACTTCACAAACTTATTTTAAACATAAAATCATGGCCATGAAAGTTGTACAATTTATTTTTAAATACACAAATCTTTTGTAATTAATGGTTCAGCAATGCATCATATACATGTTACCTGTGAGTTGCATTCCAAATAACCTACTTTTGACATAATTATGGTACATTTTTCTAACTTGAATAGTAAATTTCATGAAAAATGTGAGTTTGTGTCTGTGTAATCAGCTGTCCTTTCAAATTTAGAGCTGATAATTGTATGATGACTCATGAGTACCAGTAGCTAGAGATCTTCTTTATAAAGAATAGTTTTGCTTTACATACATTTTTTTGTACATGTATCTTTCACCTAATAATTCATATATGACTATACATGAATTAATTTGACCTGTGTATGTCTGTTTCAAAAAAGAAAATGATATGAAAATAAAAAAACTTTTTGCCCCAACTTTTTTCTATCAAATTTGGACTTTTGACAGCTTAAGTGATGGTAAGCTCATAAGTTTTAAGAAGTGAAAGCTTTTCAATTTTTTGAAATTTTGGGAAAAAATATGAAGATCCAATTACATGTACACATGTCTCTTGGACTTTTTTGGCCTTTTTGGCCTTCCTTACAGATATATAGGCTGGAACTTACTTTTTAGCACATCTTACCCAAAGGGTCAAGTGCTCTATTCTCATCACTTGGAGGCCATCAGAGTCTGTTAACTTTTACAAAAATCTTCTCCTCTGAAACTACTGGGCCAATTGGAACCATCTCGGCCACAATTATTATTGGGATATCTAGTTTAAAATATGTGTCTGCTGATCCTGCTTGCCAACCAAATTTGCCCATAAGGCTAAACATAGAACATAGGAGTGAGAATGCAAGCCCTTATAGATCAGAGAAAATCTGACAGGGGCAAACATGTTCAGAATGTTGAGATAGTCAGTTATCTCCTTATGCACCAAAAACTATCTGATGACTCCTTATAGGAGCCATTGCCCTTTAAGGTTTATTTCTCCATTTTTTCTTTCATTATCTTGAAAATTATAGTAGATAGACAAAATTTTCAAATAGCAAAAATGATCAGCAAGACAGGATCTACAAACTTGTAAACACGTCTGGAACTGTCAGTTGACTCCTTATAGAAGTTATTGACGCTAAATGAAGGTTACCAATTTATGGCATTTCTGCTTAATTTGAAACTATAATAGAAAAAGAGAAGCTTTAAAGAGTAAAAACGATCATCAGGACAAGATTGACATATTTGTCAGCAAAATTGTAGGTGGACTCTTAGTTGTAGTTATTTACCCTAAATGATGATTTTTTTTTGGTAATTTTTGGCCAATTGATTAATGATAATGCAGACAAGATCTACAAAAAGGCAAAAATTGTGGGAAGATTGTCAGTTGACTTCTATAGGATTTATTGCTCTTAAATGACTCTTTTTACCATTTTTTCATGTGTTGGGCAAAAACTATAGAAGATGAAGAGACAATGTAAACAGTGAATATGATCACGAAGAAGAGATCTTCAAATAGATCAACCAAGCCTAAATTGTAAGTCAACTCCCTAAAGAAGTTATTGCACTTGATTGACATTTTTGTCCAATTTGTATATTGGTCAAATACTATTATAGATATACTGTAAGCAATACAAGATCATCAAAAATAGATCTTAGTCATGAATTATATTTTAGTCTTCAATGTTGAAAATGCACATAGATCCAAGTGAGTGACACAGGCTGATTAGAGCCTCTAGCTATAAATAATTGCCAATTTGTGTAGTAGCCATTGGTAGTTACACATCTTGGATAAGATATAGTATGGTTGACATGACTGATATGATTGATGTCTAATCACAGAATCCTGGTTCAAATTTCGTCAGATTTCAGTTCCAAAAGTGGTTTCATATTAGAGGCTGAGATGGTTGCAAACTACATATAACATAAGTGATTAAGTTCAGTGTTGTATGCTAATATTGTAGCTGATTGATTTAATCATGTACATTTTGAAGTATTTGAAAGTATGCTAAAAGTGTTTTTTTGTTGCCATTTGAAATTCCTAATATAAATAGATGTGCCACAAAAAATTTGGGATATCTGTGCTTGTTATTTATGTGTCATTTAGTTCACTTTTTTTAAGGATGATATAAAATATAACTTCTGATAAATGTTTTAAATAGCATTTAAACATTCTCTCTGTATACATGGTATATGTGTCCTACAGTTTTATGAAAATAACCAGATATATTTTAATCAAACTTATGTATCATAACCATGTTTATAACTTCCTTACCATGCTTTCAGAAAGTATGCATCCTTCACTTGTCCTTTTTCTTGTGTCTCATTTGTAATCATACCACATCTAGTTTTTTTTTTCAGAAATTGTCAAAATATTTTGGGGTGTGGATGTTTATTTTTCAAAAGTGATCCCAATATTGTGTATTAGTTGTAAAATGAGCAAACTTACTCATTGTAAAAAGTTCTGATGTCATACAATGTAATGGGAGATTTAAAAGAAAAATTGATTACAATAATTTTGGAAAGAACATTTTGATATCCTGTTGTTGATTACTGACCTTGAGGAACAGTTTTATGTGTAGTATAGGGAATCCCTCCCAACAAAGTTTGAATGGGATCCATAAATGCATTTTGGGGGCTTGAGTGATTGCAAATATTGTTAGTTTAAAACATTGAATATAATCTAGTTCCATGATTGAAAAAATGATGAGCATAAATGTCAAAGTGGGCTTTGTCTTGAACCTGTTTATTGATGATATGCCTTTAAAAGTTCCTAGATCTAAAATTAGGCCTTTGATAGAACTACTTTTAACTTAATAGCATTGTGTTGGTTGTGTTTGTAATTCATGTAGTTGTTGTGGTAGTTATTATACGACCGCAAAAAAATTTTGTGGTCGTATATTGGTATGACGTTGGCGTCGTCGTCGTCGTCGTCCGAATACATATTGGTTTTCGCACTCTAACTTTAGTTTAAGTGAATGGATCTTTTTGAAATTTGACCATAAGGTTAAATACCACAAAAGGAAGGTTGGGATTGATTTTGGGGGTTATGGTACCAACAGTTAAGGAATTAGGGGCCAAAAAGGGGCCAAAAATGAGCATTTTCTAGTTTCCAGACAATAACTGTGGAACGGTGTATGGATCTCTCTGAAATTATACTACAAGTTTCCATACCACAAAGGGATGGTTAGGATTTGCTTTGGGGGGTTATGGCTCAAACCGTTTAGGAATTAGGGGCAAAAAAGGGGGAAAAACAAGGTTGTCCTGGTTAATGGACAAATACTTTAGTACAAAACATAATTTAAAGCAGTGTAAGGGAGATAAATCAAATACATCATTGAAATTATCTCCCTTACACTGCTTTTAAATTATGTATAAAGTAATGGTTAATGAACAATAAAGATAATCTAAAACAGTGTAAGGGAGGTAATCAAAATACAACGTTTTGGTTACTTCCCTTACACTGCTTTTAAATTATGTTTAAAGAAATGCATATTTATAAAGGAAGACCAGTAAAAATATCTGCAAATGTTTTCATCTTTTTTTTTTACAAAAAAATCCATATGAAAGATTTGACACTATATTTTTATTAATTCTATTATAAAATAGATTAAGTTAGCACTATGGTAAATTTAAATGGGTAATTATGGTTGCCAACTCCATTGGAAATTTGAATTGAGATTATGACCATATCTTGAGGGAAAGAATTTTTTTGGGGGAAAAAGGGGGGGGGGGGGATAAAAAGAAATTGTGGGGGGCCAATTTTTTCTCATTTCAGATTTCAGAAATTAAAAAGAATTATTCTTTAAATATTATTTTTTTTTCAAATTTCAAATATTGAAAAATTTCAAGAAGTAATCTTTAATTGCACAGTATGGCGCATTAGATTTGTAAAATCTTTGATCACATTTATTTATTTGTTATGCCGAATCTAACAGTGTATTTAGATTTTTAATTTTGGGTCCAGTTTTCAAATTGGTCTACATTAATGTCCAAAGGGTCCAAAATTAAACTTTGTTTGATTTTAGCAAAAATCGAATATATGAGGTTCTTTGATATGCTGAATCTAAACATGTATTTAGATTTTTGATTTTTGGCCCAGTTTTCAAGTTGGTCCAAGTTGGGGTCCAAAATTAAACTTTGTTTGATTTCAACAAAAATTGAATATATGGGGTTCTTTGATATGCTGAATCTAACCATGTATTTAGATTTTTTATTTGTGGACCCCGTTATCTAATTGGTTCATATTGAGGTCAAAAGGGTCCAAAATTAAACTTTGTTTGATTTCATCTAAAATTGAATTATTGGGGTTCTTTGATATTCCAAATCTAACCGTGTATTTAGGTTTTTAATTTTGGGTCCTGTTTTTTAAATTGGTCTACATTGAGGTCCAAAGGGTCCAAAATTAAACTTAGTTTGATTTTAACAAAAATTGAATTCTTGGGGTTCTTTGATTTGCTGAACCTAAACATGTGTTTAGATTTTTGATTATGGGCCCAGTTTTCAAGTTGGTCCAAGATAGGGTCCAGTATGTAAACTTTGTTTGATTTCAACAAAAATTGAATATATGGGGTTCTTTGATATGCTGAATCTAAACATGTATTTAGATTTTTGATTATGGGCCCAGTTTTCAAGTTGGTCCAAATTGGGGTCCAAAATTAAACTTTGTTTGATTTCAACAAAAATTGAATATATGAGGTTCTTTGATATGCTGAATCTAACCATGTATTTAGATTTTTTATTTGTAGGCCCCGCTATCAAATTGGTTCATATTGAGGTCAAAAGGGTCCAAAATTAAACTTTGTTTGATTTCATCGAAAATTGAATTATTGGGGTTCTTTGATATGCCAAATCTAACCGTGTTTTTAGATTTTTAATTTGGGTCCCGTTTTTTAAATTGGTCTTCATTGAGGTCCAAAGGGTCCAAAATTAAACTTAGTTTGATTTTAACAAAAATTGAATTCTTGGGGTTCTTTGATATGCTGAATCTAAACATGTGTTTAGATTTTTGATTATGGGCCCAGTTTTCAAGTTGGTTCAAGTTGGGGTCCAAAATTAAACTTTTTTTGATTTCAACAAAAATTGAATATATGGGGTTCTTTGATATGCTGAATCTAACCATGAATTTAGAATTTTTATTTGTGGGCCCCGCTATCAAATTGGTTCATATTGAGGTCAAAAGGGTCCAAAATTAAACTTTGTTTGATTTCATCAAAAATTGAATTATTGGGGTTCTATGATATTCCAAATCTAACCGTGTATTTAGATTTTTAATTTTAAGTCCCGTTTTTTAAATTGGTCTACATTAAGGTCCAAAGGGTCCAAAATTAAACTTAGTTTGATTTTAGCAAAAATTGAATTCTTGGGGTTCTTTGATATGCTGAATCTAAACATGTGTTTAGATTTTTGATTATGGGCCCAGTTTTCAAGTTTGTCCAAGTTGGGGTCCAAAATTAAACTTTGTTTGATTTTAACAAAAATTGAATATATGGGGTTCTTTGATATGCTGAATCTAACCATGTATTTTGATTTTGGACATTGGACCATAATAGGTAAATTAAAAAAATTCAAGTTCTTAGACCACATTCTTTCTGTGTCAGAAACCTATGCTGTGTCAAATATTTAATAACAATCCAAATTCAGAGCTTTTCAAGCTTGAATGTTGTGTCCATACTTGCCCCAACTGTTCAGGGTTCGACCTCTGCGGTCGTATCAAGCTGCGCCCCAGCGAAGCATTTTATTTTTAAACTGAAATTCAAATAGTGTGATATAGAAACTTATTTTGTAGCCATATTTAGATCCATATTCATTTTAAAATGTATAAATGTAACATGTGAATATCTTTTTGTTTTCCATCTTGTCAAAAGGTGACATATGACAATTAAAGTGCATGATTGTATCAGTTGGGTGTCACACAAAATGATAAGGGTTAGTTGTACATGTGTAATAGATAAACTGGATTTTTGAAAAGCAAAAACTGTCAGCTACCTGTCTGACAAGAGACCTACATGTACCTTTAAGCTACTTTTATGAAAATTTCCTCAGTTTCTATACTGTCAAATGACTGTTAATTCATTTATTTTCTTGGGTACATAAGTTTTGTGGATCGAGTAAAAAATTGTTAATCCCTGGATATTTTATTTTGTGGTTTTACTAAAATTTGCATATAATTTCGTTGATCATTCAATTATTGGTAGCCCACAAATAATAATTAATCCACTGTAATTTATAGGTCTCTTTAGATTTATTTTGAGGTGTACATTTCTGTGTCTTAGAAGTGAACTGACATTTACTTCATTTAAATACTTAATTTTTATGATTTTGTCATTTTATTACCGGTAGTTACAAATGTTAGGTCAATCACATACATGTTAACATGTAGAATCATTACCCATAAGGTGTGCAAATAAACCTTTCCTACACAGACTGTTTAGCTAACGTACCTAGCCCGAAGAGTCATGTGAGTTATTGTAATAACTTGGTGCCATATGTTGTTGTAAACTTTTTAAAAAAAATCCTCCTCTGAAACTGCTGGGCCAAATGTTACAAAACTTTAAAGTAAATGTTCCTTAGGAAATCTAGTTTATAAAAATTTTATCCAGGGATTTGATCCATCAAAAACATGACTCTGTTGATCGTAGAATTAAAACATCGGGACAAACTGCAGTTTTTGGCTTTATATATCTCAAAAACTGTAGAAAGAAGAGCAAAATTGTCATTGTTAAAAATGATCAGCAGGTCAAAGTCTATCTACTGTGAAATTCTCGGAAAATCTGACAACCCATTTTTGAGTTATTGCTCCTGAAATGTCCATTTTCAGGAAAGTTATTGAAAATTATTATATAGTAAAACTTGGAAAGTAAAAATGGCCAGAAAAATAAGATCTACCAATAAGTGATATGGCCTATATTGTCAAGTGTTTCCTTCTAAGAGTTATTGAAAATTATAGAGAGAAACTGTTTTAACATCCATGTTCAGTGCAATAAGCTCCACAAATAACTCAAAATTACCAGCAGGACAGATATCTTGGCCCACACAGTTTCAATTCAAAAAAATATTCTTGTTGCATTGTATTAATTTTTTTTTGGGGGGGGGGGGATGATTATTAATTAAGTTTGTGTTAACTAACCATCTAGCTTGGGCTTGACCTCATTGTCCTGTAAGGTAATTGCCATCTTCGATTGCATATAACATCAACCAATTGGTCCAAATTTTTAATGAAAGAAGCTAATTTTGAATCAAGAGCACAATTATTTGTGCGACTTCATTAAATGAAGAATTGTATGTGCTATTTTTGCAAAAATTTGTTTTTACAAGTATAGAATAGTTTTTGATTAATTAAAAACTTTTAAACCTTTGCTTTATAAGGGGAGATTACTCAGATGAATTAATTTATACAAAATGATTTTTTTTCTATTTGGTTAAATAGTAAGAAAAAGGTCATTTTCTATCTAAGCATACAATAATGCATTTTACCCTTATAATCCTTACAAAATGTGACAAATATTCATGACCTGTAGATTAAAAGCAAGCTTTGTAACCTATTGTTCTTATTATATTTTTGAAAATAAAATGATATAAACACATTTGGCAAAGAATATAAAATTACCAAAAGAAATACATATTTACATGAAATGCAATCAAAACCCTATGGTACTGACTTGATATCTATATCTTCCAAGGTTGATTACTACCTTTGATAGTTCAAACAAAATAGTGCAGTGAAGTGATCATTCTTTAGATCCTATATATCCAGTCAATATCATGCAATTTACTGATGATATGTTATACTTTGATATTTAAGTTACAATATGATGTGTATTTGAATTACCATACTTGTCAAGAAAACATTTTTTATGAAAAATTACACAAGTAATGCATGATGTATGAATCTGTTTTAAAAATATGTTCAACTACATGTTCAAATGTACAATCATGAACAAAGGAAGATAATTCCAACTCAAATTTTTAACTTGCAAAATACAAGTCAATGTTTTATTTTAAAATTCACAAAATTGCAAAATGAAAACAATCTTCCTTCAGTGCTCACAAGCACTTTGATTAAGTATGAAGTTTTTTCACTCTTTATACAAAATATGCTAGGCATTTTAAGTCCATTTTTGATAAAAGCTTTTCCATAGGCGGAACCAGGGGGGCCGCCCCCCCCCCCCCCTTTTATGGGAAAAATTCAGTTGATTATATAGGGAATCACTGAAGCATGACTGGAGCGGGGCCCCCCTTATAAAAAGTTCAGGATCCGCCACTGAAAAATTTGTATTGTAATTTCTAAATTCCTACAGTTTGTGTGTTTGTATTTGATATATATGCAATATGTATTTTTAGTCAATTTTACACAACTTTTTACTTAAATTAATATTATTTATGTTATTATTCAATAGTGAATACATTGTATGTACATCAATTTTTTAAGATCTCATAGAATATTTTCAATAATTTTTTGTTTAACAAAAAATGTATATTTTTCTTATTTTAAGTTCATTCCATAATATTATGAAGCCTATTTTAATCCTTGTTCATACTATACTTTTAAAATTGATATATTTTTCTGATATTTTTATGTTAAATTGTACAAATTGAGCAAAAATGATTGTATAAAAATCTTGAAAGCAATAAATTATATCTGGTTTTATTATATTTTACTGTATTTGTTTCATACATCATATATATTATTTCCCATTTAAACATCCTATTTTCATTACAAGTTAATGTTTGAATTTTACATGATTGACGATTGAAAGACCCTCCACATATATATTTCCTCATTCATGTTGATGGGATTGAAATCACAGGGGTAACTTTTTAGGCAATTATTGCACAAAGTTCATGTTCAAACTACGTGGAAAATCATGTTATCTTTATTTTCACTGAAACTGCTGAATAGGGAAAATAAAAGGAAGGTTGTGTTCAAAAAGTCGTTTTTGGTTCTGAATGGACAAAGAACATGGCTATCTGAGACATTCTCTGATTCTGATAAGCCAGTACAAAATTTATTATTAAATGTTCTCAGGAACTGTTTTCGATTGATTATTTTGAGGTCATCTCAGTCTTGTCTAATATTGATTGGATGGAAAAACAAGATGGCAGTGGTGTTTTATAGCTACCATGAAAATCCAATAGGAGAGATAATGTATGAAAGCTCTTCTACAACCCTCTTCGCTGGATTTTATATCAATAAAAAAAAAAAGGCTGTAGAGACATACTTTGATAATGAATCACAGTCTTTTCTCTAAAACTACCAAATGTTTGAAACACACTACTGCATTGACAGTTAGAAGACTCTACTAGCACTTGTTCTGTTTAATGGTGATGAAAAAGCAAGCAATGTGACATTGGTCACACATAGTTATCATTTAAAGCTAGAAGGAAATCACATTTTTGTCTCGCTTGACGGAGTCAAAAAGCGAGACATAGGTATGCTGTTTCCTGTGTCGGTGCAGTGTTCTCCCCAGGGCCTTTTAGCATCATGGTAATGTGATGCTATCTGAATTGATTTTCTTATAAGATAGTGTTATGGATGTGATGCTATAATTTTTAGAAACAAGATGGTATTTCAAATTTCCCTGTTTACCAGGATGCTAAATGAAATATGTGGGGAGAACACTGCGGTGACAACGGCAGCAGCAGCGTCAACAATGTATTAGTTTGTGATTAGGTCTAGTTTGTGGTGAACCACAAGTTGTAGGTCAATCATATTTGATATACAGTTGTGTAAGCATTGGCACATCTCATTTCAATGGAGATTATTTGGCCCTGCCCCCTCGGTCATGGTCTATTGACTTTGAAACTTTTTCTTATTTTACATGTATTAGTTTGTGATTAGGTCAGTTTATGGGGAACCATTAGTGGTAGGTCAATGATATTTGGTATACAGTTGTATTAGCATTGGCACATCTCATTTCCATGGAGATTATTTGGCCCTGCTCCCTCAGTCATGGTCTATTGACTTTGAAACTTTTGCTTATTTTACATGTTTTAGTTTGTTATTTGGCCCTGCTCCCTCAGTCATGGTCTATTGACTTTGAAACTTTTGCTTATTTTACATGTATTAGTTTGTGATTAGGTCAGTTTATGGGGAACCATTAGTGGTGGGTCAATGATATTTGGTATGCAGTTGTATAAGCATTGGCATATCTCATTTCCATGGAAATTATTTGGCTCAGCCCCCTTAGTCATGGTCTATTGACTTTGACAATTTTGCTTAGTTAACATGTATTAGTTTGTGATTAGGTCAGTTCAAGGGGAACCATTAGTGGTAGGCCAATGTTAATTGGTATTCAGTTGTATAAGCATTAGCACATCTCATTTCAATGGAGAATATTTGGCCCCACCCCCTCAGTCATAGCCTATTGCCTTTGAAACTTTTGCTTAGTTTACATGTTTTAGTTTGTGATAAGATCAGTTTAAGATGAAATGCTATTGTTAAGTCAATGATATTTGGTATGCAAATTTATTGGCATTTTTAAGTATCGTTTCCATGGAGATTATATAGCTCCACCCCCTCTTCATGGTTCATTGACTTTGAAACCTTTACATAGTTTACAAGTTAATGTTTGTGTTTAGGTTTGTTTAAAGGGAACAACTTATAATAAGTCAATGATATTTGGTATGCAGTTGTATTAGCATTGGTGCATCTCATTTACATGGAGATGGTTTAGCCATGTACCTCAGTCATGGTTCATTGACTATAATTTTAGCCTAACTTGTTAAGTATTTCCATTTTAAATTTCAACATTTGCATAATCAGAATTACAAAAAAGCGAGACATATCTCTGCGATAACAGTTTATTAAATTCTTATCTGCTAGACCAATTTAAATCTTGGCAGGGGTATACAAAGTTCTAAATATGAATCATGTCTTACTGAAAAGACATCCAAGTTAAAATTGTCCAAGTCATCTTTTGCCTGACAAATTAAGGTACACATTTACCAAATAAGCTATAGGAGCTTCTAGTTTATGGTATAATCCCAGTTTTTGTCTTGCCAGGGACATAAAAAATAAAATGTAAGATTTAGTTTGGGGATAATTTTTGAACCACTTCAAAAACCTGGGGGTGAATTGAGTGCTCTGAAAGTTTTGATGTATAATTATCTGGACAGTTTACTAGACAGGTTTGTTTTCTACAAAAATATTTTTAGTTTTATTATGTTAAAATTTTACATTTCTTTCTTAAAATTTTGAAAATATGACAATAATGTAGCTGATGCATCAATCAACCTTGTTTTGCACCTCGTTAAGTGCATTTTTTCTTCACTTTATGAATAGATGAGTGAGCTCTAAATCTAGAAATAAAATTTATTTATGCTTCTTTGAATGAATAGTATAATAACATTTTTGTCTCACCTGCAACAACAGTCTCAAAATACGAGACACAGATTACTATATGGTGGTGTAAATGTTTTGTATAAAGCTTTATATTTCAGAAGGAAGAACATCTGAATGCTAAATATATGTATGCAGATACCTAATGTTTCATCTGACCTGGATTTCATTTTCATAGTTCATTGATCAATGTTAAGTTTTCACAGTTTGGTTTGTTTTTTTGAAATTATATGCAAAAAGTCAACTATATTTGGTGCATGGAATGATTGTAAGGTGTACATATCTATCTGCCAGGGTTTATCTAACATTGGCTTTATTGTCATCTAAATCATGGACAATGTTAAGTTATGTGATACTTGTAAAACCTTTATTTTTAAGACATTCAACATTTAAAAATTTTAATCAATCATGGTCAGTAAAGCAGGGGAGACATGTCAGCAAGTGTACTCTTGTTATATAATGTTGGTCTTTTGTTTATTTCACTTATTGAGGTAATTATCAGAAATGAAAGCACTGAAATAGCATATCAGCTGGGAGATGTATACTTCATATGTAAGCTGCTGGAATGCTGGAATGCAAAAATTGAAAGTTCACAATTGGAAAATTGAAATCATCTTTCTTGTTGCAGCTTAAATTTCATTGGCAATCATTGGTAATTTCAGGATGTAAGTCATGATATGAAGCAGACTTAACTGCATCTGTGATATCCTTTGTTTTAAATTCAATGGAAATGCAAACAGAATTGTCCATCTTTTTTCAGTGAAAGGACATCATCTATATTGGAAACATGAGGTTAAAGGCTATTTAAAAATTGTTTATGTGTATATATTTTATGGTTAGAAGTCTTTTAAGTTTTTTGTCATTCATTGAAGCTAAATGTGAATTTTTATGAATGGAATATATATATATCAAAAACTGTATGCAATAAAGGATCCTTATATTATCTCCCCTTTAATGTATACTACAGTTTCCTTTTAAAATGGCAGCCTCCATAAGAAAAGTTGTCAAATTTATAGGTTTGTAATATTAAAACTGATAACGACTACTCACATTCAATTTTTATAGTACAAACAGATGGAATGGCTATAGCCTAAGTGAAAAAGAAGAGTATTTGCTTGTTTTAAATCTAAAACACTCTTAAATCTAAGTCTAAGGAAACTTTTATTTTTACTTGGTACTGTAATTTCTCTGGGTAATTTCACATTGTATACTTTGGTTACATTGTTTAGGATCACTTTTAATGTGGACGAGCAGTATACAATACAACATTATTAGTGTTGTCAACGGTTAATCGCAGTTCTGCCAACTTTTAATAATGCAAATGCGTGAGATTTGGCCAAAATCATAAAGATCAAAGAGAAAAAACAATAGATCAAAGGAAAATGCCGCCAAATAAGCATGAAAATGCGTGAGACTTGGCAGCCCTGAAAAATCGGTTTACTGGTTAACCGTTGGAAGGACTGAATATCGAATAACAAAAACGTTAACCGGTTCAAGTTCAAAGTTCAAAAGCTTTTTTTATAGACGAAGTCGTGTATAGAAAACATAAGCTCTATTGAGCTTTTATATCGTCTTTACATACATGTAAATAAGCTATTAAAAGACTTCTAAACATAAGCTCTATTTAGCTTTTATATCGTATTTACCAACATGTTAATATGCCACCTCGATCTTCTTAGGCTTTGTCCTACATTTCCTACTACGAAATACCGACTCAAAAATGGTCCTTTTCTAAATTTAAATAAAATTTATATAGATTAGACCGTTGGTTTTTCAGTTTGAATGGTTTTACACTAGTAATTTTTTGGGGCCCTTTATAGCTTGCTGTTCGGTGTGAGCCAATGCTCCGTGTTAAAGGCCGTACCTTGACCTATAATGGTTTACTTTTATAAATTGTAACTTGGATGGAGAGTTGTCTCATTGGCACTCATACCACATCTGCCTATATCTATTGATATAAATGTGTATTGAAATCATTAATTAATTTTTAAAATGATAGTCTAGCTAATCAATTTGACAGATCAACTGTCCAGTATATTGATTACTATTAATATTGTTAACCTTGAACACAATCTAATTTTACAAATTCATTAACACAAAACAACTTGTCTATTAGCTCCGGGCAATATCTAAAGTAAACATAATCAGCTTACTTGTATTTTGAACAGTTGTAAGCTGATTACATTTTACAATCTTCTTCATTATTACACTTTGATTTAATGTTGCATATACCTACATGTAGATATGACACCTCTGTCCTCTTAGGCTTTGTCATACATTTCCAACTTATTTTAAAACGAAATATCGCTCAAAAATGGTCAAATGCAAAATATGTGAATGGAATTAATGTATAATACTGTGTGGTACGATTAATACAATTAATCATCTCCAATTGAAACGCTCCACAGAATTTTCTGAGACACCAAATAAATTGAAACAATCACCAGTTTATAGACTTTGTCAATTAACTGAGATCAAGACCATTTTCGTCTTTTCAATCTGAAGTTATCACAAATGCCATAGGCATACTAGATATGGTAGTATTGGATTATTAAAGGTATAACTTCACCAGGACTGCTCAAAGCCAAGCCTTATAAATAATGTCCAAGCATAAACTTCAATTCTTCTTATTATAAAAATGGGTATGGATGGGGTTCCTTCATTTCTGTATTCTTTTAACTTTTTAGACCAATTTTATCTATTCTTTATACTTAAGCACCCCATTATTCTCTATTCTTTATGTTTTGGTTCATATTTCTCTATTGTTTATATTTTTAGCCCATTATTCACCATTCTGTAAACTCCAATCCAAACCCTCATAAAACCGTGCATTTGTAGAGCACTGAAGACATTTAAAACAACTAAAGTACCGGTTAATCGGTCGAAAGAATTTGCGAGTAACCGGTTAGTCAAAACTGTTTAATTTGACAACACTAAATATTATACAATATGTTTTTAATCTAATCAAGGTTTCTCAGGAGCAATAACAAGGATGAATCATAATTCAGTTATATCAAGATATACAAACAATACAATACAAGAGAACAATGTACTCTTATGTACTATACTATAATACTGGTGTAATAATAAAATCAACAGAAGATGAATTTAAATGTTCTGTGGCTCTTTTTACAAAAAATCATACTAGTAAAAATACATGCAAGTCATGAACATTTCAGTTTAAATTACGATCAATTTTACTCATAGCATTTTGTGAAATGAGTCACAGTTCTATGCAGCAAGGATGTTTGCAGCATTGCGACCCAAGGGGAGACAAACATTTTGGTTAATTGATTGCCTAGCTTCTAAAGACAATAGAGGACAGTGCTGGAGATCAACACAATCTCCATGTGGGTAAACCATCAAAGCAAACATTGAAAATATATATAGATAAAATACATGTAGGGGTCATAGTTGATTGCTTAGCTGGAGGAGACACCAGGGGTGGTGATTAAGAATCATATAAATTTGATTCTACCAGTGTCTGTACCAGCCAAGCAAGCAGTTATAAAAATATGAATATTTGTTTTAGGGGAGGTAGAGGATGAGATACACTTTCTTCTTTATTGCACTAAAATAAACAAGGAGTGACAAAAGTTGTTAAAAACTATGTACGTTCTTTAATATTCTTTTTTTCTTCTGAATACTGATCAACAGTTAACATGTACTCCATGGGTGAACTCAAGTGCTCCAAAAATGTAGACAGTTCTTAATACACTAGTGTCACCTGTTGAGTTTCTTTAAAGTTGAGAATTTAATGATAAGTTGCATCTAGTAATTTCACAATTGAGTGAAAGTTGTGATTGCGGCTACGACAAGTAAAACATATCCATGGTCACATGTGAGGCTGTCCTGAAATAGAAGTTCCTTAAAAATATAAGTTCCAAGTGGAAGAAATATTCTGTGATATTATTTCCTCTGTTACAAATATTCCCGACGGAATAAAGATTATAGAATATTTGTTCCAATGGGAAAATATAGTATGGCATTGTTTATAACAAAGTTTCTCCAGTGAAATTTCTGTAAGGTGTAACAAATAATATACATTTACAAGGCATGCATGTAACTATATAACACCATCGTTTCCGGCATCCAAAGAAGAAGAATAAGATTTTGTTTATAAAAATGCACTTTTACACTGAATTACAGTTGATCAAAGGTCTATATCTCATCATGATCATTATATATATATATATTAATTTTGAAATAATTAATTTTTTTGTTTATCAATTTGTATTTCAGATATTGGAGCAAACCTTACAGGTAAATTGTAAACTATAATTATACAGTTTGTTATTGTTATCTATTGTCTATGAGGAGAATTTCATTATAATATTTGAAGCCTAGAAATTAATTGTTGTTTTAATATTAATTAGTTATTACACAAAATTTGGATCCAGAAACCAAATAACCATGATAACTAGTAATTAGAATAATATTCCTATTTCTTGATGGGAGATTTTTGTTAAAATTATGGAAGAAATTATTTTTATTTCTTCTTAAAATTTTGTTGCATGGCTAATATAAATATACATCACCTCAGTGATTTTGTGGTAGCATGATCACCTGATGTGCAAAAGGTTGCGAAGAATTTAAATTGCTTCTGCCCTTAGCAAGCAGCCTTTAGGAGAACTAGCAAAGACTGGTTGGCCCAGAGACCGAATTATGTGTCCGTGTTTATTATCATATTAACTTTAATTATTCATGTCTATCTGCCCATGTGTATTTTCCAAGCTGCTGTTATACTGATAGAGGACCTGAATCTTTTTCAATTTGTTGATTTTATTATGTTGAATAATTAATTTACAACCATGTTTTGTGCTCCTTATGAGTAAATCATTTAGATATAAATTTTATAGTGTACTTTTTATTTAATTATCATTCTATTCATTCCTGTAAGTTACTGTGAAAATACAATAGTGTGTAGATTATCACTTTTAATGTGCAATTTGGTGGTTTAAAACTTTTAAACAAAATTCAGCAAATTTTAAAATGATTTGTGTATTAGAAGTCTTTCAAGATCCACAAACAATCCATACAAAATTTGGATTGATATATGTACGGTACTTCAACTGTATGGTACTGTTTCTATCTACTTTTTTTCAGATCCTGTTTTTAGAGGTGTATACCATGGATCTAAGAGGCATGAAGGTAAGTAATCTAAGGAATATGATTATCTGAGAATAATATTACAAAGGTTTGATCTGAAAAAAATCAATATGTGGTATTTTTACATAGTGACACTTTATAATGATGATTCTAATAACTCAATATTGTATTAAAAAGTCCACATACCAATGGTGAATTAAGCAGAGGCGGATTTAGGGGAGGACCCCCCCCCCTATTGTGGGAAAAATTTGGTTGATTATTTAGGGAATCAGTGGAGCGGGCCCCCTCTTATGGCAGTCAGTGGGCCCCCCCTTATGAAAATTTCTGGATCCGCCACTGTTAAGTATAATATAATAGAAATATGGTGAACTGAACTTCTTGCATCCAGTAGTAAGATTCATGCTGAGAAGTTGAACTTCTGTGTGAAATGGTGAATATAAAATGTGCAGGGAAAGTTTGCACATTGAAAATTTTTTGCAAAACATCTATATAGGGGTCTGTTAGTGTCTTGTTTTAGGAAAAATGTCATAACATACAGTGACAATCCAAATTAGCTACAGTTGTAATTCTTCCTAAATATGTTTTATTTTCTATAGTACTTTCTATACCGTGTACATTATTTCAATGACAAAAATAAATTATTTATTTTATAGATGATTTCAGTGATGTGTTGCAAAGAGCCTATGATGTTGGAGTAGAAAAGGTAAAGTGAGTGTATTATAAATTGATATGTTGGAGAAGAAAAGGTGAAGTGAGTGTATTATAAATTGATATGTTGGAGTAGAAAAGGAAAAGTGAGTGTATAATAAATTGTTGTGTTGGAGTAGAAAAGGTAAAGTGAGTGTATAATAAATAGATATGTTGGAGTAGAAAAGGTAAAGTGAGTGTATAATAAATAGATATGTTGGAGTAGAAAAGGTAAATTGAGTGTATAATAAATATATTTTATTTTCATATGATGTTGGAGTAGAAAAGGTAAAGTGAGTGTAAGATACATAGATTTCATTTTCATATTGCAAACATGATTTCAGAACTAACAAAATGCTCTTTTGAAAACCTTTTGTGTGATGAAGTTAATAGTGTTATTGTTAATGTAAAAACTAACATTAAAACCAGTGAGCAGAATATCTGTATATTGAGATTTATACCATATTTATCTCAAATTCAAAATAAACCCAGGGCCTTTTAGTTTCTAGAAGAGAGAGCAGAATAAAGCTTTTAAAACACGACAAAAAGATAGGTAGCACATGTAAGTTGTAACAATCTTTGTGAAACTTGACCAATGAATCTGCATTTGTAATTTAAAGCAAGAGTAACTTGAAATTAAAGAGAAAATGTTACAAAAATTTTCTGCCTCCAGCACAAAAGATAGTTGTAGTGATAAACTGTGAAATTTTATGGCCTCTTTTATAGAAAATTACTGACCATTCTTACATACTCATCTTGTGATAACAAATATTTTTTAAATACTTTGTAAATGGAAATTTTTGTTTTAGATAATGGTTACATCTGGTATGCTGAAAGATGTAGTGGAAGCTTTAGATATATGCAAATCACATGGTTAGTGTTTTATATGTATGAAATAACACAATCTCTCCCACTAATGTAAATTATTGTATAAAACTTGCTGTCTTCTTTTTATTTATACCAGAATGTCTCTTTTTTATTCATGCATTTCAGTATAAATAGAGCTTAAAATTTCTTTGTCTTTCATCGTTCTCTTCTAATGGTAGTAGATTTATATATTATTCAACATGTCCATTGGTCTGTTCATCCATCTGCCCTTCCAATTTTTTCCACTGTCATAAAGATATCTTGACAGTGTTCTTCCTTATAAAGTAAGGAAAAGGTTCCAGCAAAAGTTATGTCACAATCTATCTTGTGTTTTTTTTCTGTTCTCAGAATTTATATGGTGAGATGCAAATTGGAGCCAAATAAGTATGAAATAATTGCAATCTACTCTTGTAATAGACTTCAGTCAAAGTTCTATCACTTCTTCCTATTTTGTGTTGTTCAGCATCCTGGATTTAGTGTCTACAATTAAAAGCTTTACACAAATTTATCAGCCAGAGGATAGATAAATTTAAGAAAAATTATCTATATCAAGCTATTCCCATGAACATTTTTTGACTCGCCTGTTTCATCACAGAATGCAAGACAAAGGGATTACTATCGGTGACAACAGTGTAAGATATTTATATAAAACTTTTTATTTCAGAAGGTAGAAGACCTTGATGCTTCATAACTTGTATGCAGATGCCTTATGTTACGAAATTTCTGTCGGTCATATGTCCATTGTCCTTGACCTCATTTTCATGGTTCAGCAACTGCTTGAATAAAATGTATAGTTTTTGTCATGTGAAATACTCACTTATTATGTGTAACAGGATAACTATATTTGGTATATGGGATCCTTGCAAGGTCCACATGTCTGTCAGACATGGTTCACCTGACCTTGATCTCATTTCATGGATCAGTGATTCAGGTTAAGTTTTCATGGTTAATTCCTTATTTCAGATACTATAAGCAATAGGTCAACTATTTTAGGTGTATAAAATGATTGTAAGGTGTACATGTTCAACTGGCAGGTTTCATCTGACCTTGGCCTTATTTTCATGGTTCATTGGTCAATGCTAAGTTTTTGTGGTTTGGTCTGTTTCTCAGAAACTATAATCAATAGGGCCACTATATTTAGTGTATGGAATGATTGTAGGGTGTACATGACAGCTGGAAGGTTTCATCTGACCTTGACCTCATTTTCATGGTTCATTGGTCAATGTTAAATTTTCATGTTTTTTTCAGCTTATCAGATGTTATTAGCATTAGGTTATCAATATTTGGTGAATGAAATGATTGTAATGTGTACATATCTGTTTTGCATGGTTCATCTGACCTTGACCTCATTTTCATGGTTCATTGGTCAATTTTAAGTTTTCTTTTTTGATACGTCTGTTTACCGGACGGAACGTATTGTGCGTCCGTCCATCCGTCTGTCCGTCGTCAACATGTCGGACAATAACTCAAAAACACTTTAACCAATTTGCATGAAACTTTGGTAAATTGTTAAATCTTTTGTCATTGAGCTCCCTTTGAATTTTTATAAATTCTAGATCTTATGTTTCAGAGTTATGGGGTTTTATTCATTGAAAAAGGGGTATTTTCCAGTTTTCGGACAATAACTCAAAAATGCTTTGAGCAGTTTTCGTGAAACTTTGGTGAATTGTTTATATCTATTGACGTAAGCTCCTTTTCGATTTTTTATAAATTTTAGATTTTACGTTTCCGAGTTATGGGATTTTATTCATAAAAAAGGGGGGATTTTCCAGTTTTCAGACAATAACTCAAAAGTGCTTTTAGCAGTTTTCATGAAACTTTGGTGACTGTTTTATATCTATTAGAATAACAATAGAAAAAATCTGATATGACATTGAGGAGTTATGGAACTTTATTCTTTGAAAAAGTGATGAGCATATCATACACTCATGGTACAGCTCTTTATTATGTCTGTTTATCAGGTACTATAAGCAATAGGTCAACTATATTTGGTGTATTGAATGATTGCAGGTTGTACATCTTATCTGGCAGGGTTTATCTGACCTTGACCTCATTTACATGGATCAATGATAATTTAAGTTTATGTGATATTTATATTAATACCATTAAATAACAGACTTTCAACAAGCAAGCGAGACATTTTAGTGTGCGCACTCTTGTATAAAACATAAATAGAATTGACACCTTGCATGAGAATTTGCTAACAGATAGATGTTTTATTTAAGAATTGAATGCTTCTTATTATAATTTTATTGTGATATAAAAGCGTTGACCAAAGGTCCGAAGCACATTTTGTGTGAAGCGTGATATATGAAAAATGTGTGCATGATCAACGCTTTTACAAACCAATAAGATTATACAAAGAAGCATTCAATTCTTATTATTGTATTTTTATGCTATAACCATGAAATTAAGAGTTATATCAAGCTTTTCGTCTTCTTGTCAGCCAATCAAAATTATGGATTTTAATAAAACATACATGTAATGTAATAATCTATATAATGTTTAATAAAACATACATGTAATGTAATAATCTATATAATGTTTAATAAAACATACATGTAATGTAATAATCTATATAATGTTTAATAAAACATACATGTAATGTAATAATCTATATAATGTTTAATAAAACATACATGTAATGTAATAATCTATATAATGTTTAATAAAACATACATGTAATGTAATAATCTATATAATGTAGGAGTTCATGTAGGAGTTTACTGACCATCCAGAAATTTCTGTTTTCTGGGGGACTCTATTTCTATTGATTGGAAGATTCTCAAGTTTGCGATTATATTATTACAATTATTGTTGTAGAAAATCTCTACACAACTTCAGGATGTCACCCAACTAGATGCACAGAGTTTGATAAGAGTGGTGACTCAGAAAAATATCTTAGTGATCTAATTCAGGTTGTCAAGGATAATCCTGACAAGATTGTAGCCATTGGAGAGTTAGGACTAGGTATTACAAATAAGTTTATAAATAAAATTCAGAAAAGATTTTAGCCAGTGGAGCGTTTAGACTCGATATGATAAATAAATTTATAGATTTAATCTAGATAAGATTGTAGCCATTGGAGAGTTAGGACTAGGTATGACAAATAAATTTATAAATAAAATCCAGACAACATTTTATCAATTGAAGAGCTTTGACTCAGTATGACTAATAAAATTATAAATATAATCCAGACAAAGTAGTAGCCATTACAAATGTCTCATTAATCTTATTTTTATCCAGGTTTTAAATTTGTATTGTAGTTATAATTGTGAAAGTAGACTACATTCAAGATCATCCAAATAATCACAAAAATTACCAAAATATACAGCAAAGTCCAAGTTGATTGGAGACATTGAATTATACACATATTGGAGTATGCCAGGCTCTCTGGACACACATAACCTTTATGGTTACTCTTGTAAGGGGCTTCTATTATTCTGTGTGGGGTGTATAAAAACACAACCATGTCTGTTTAAGGCATAACATGATTTATTAATTCACAGCCTTGTCAGAGACATTGTCTTTAAGATACATATTTATTTGAACAGAAATAAATGTCTTACAAGTGGGAGGATTTGAGACAATAAAGTCCCCTATTGAATTTCAGGATTGTTTGTCAGGCAGCTGTTGAAGGTTCATGTCACAAATCTTATCAATAAGATCCAGCCTTAATGTTGCCAAATTTTCTTTGAAGTTCCTATTCTGAATTCTAGTGAGATATATTTGATGACATATGAATAAGAAAATGTTTTATTTCCATCAAATGGGCTCACAAAGACCATATTACAATATAAGACATTAATTTAGACAACAACAAATAAAAACAATAATCAAGTATACATACAAAGAAATATATATAATCAAGTATACATACAAAGAAATATATATAATCAAGTATACATAAAAAGAAATATATATATAATCAAGTATACATACAAAGAAATATATATAATCAAGTATACATACAAAGAAATATATATAATCAAGTATACATACAAAGAAATATATATAATCAAGTATACATACAAAGAAATATATATATAATCAAGTATACATACAAAGAAATATATATAAATTTCTTAGTGAGGAATGTAATCACTAACTTTAGTATTTTGAATGTTTTTCAGATTATGACAGACTCCATTTTTGTCCTAAAGAAACACAACTCAAGTAAGTATGATAAAGGTGAAGACAATGCAGTGTTACTTGTAGAATGTTACCAGTACATCTGTGTGTCAGCAGAATTAGAAAAACTAACAATGAACTTTATGTGACAAGTGGCATTTTATGGAAATGTGATTAAGACAGATAGGTCAAGATTTGGTTTGATATTATTTAAGATATATAGTTGGAAAAGATGTGATGTTATATGAATGATATTTCAACACTACAATTGTTTTATATGGTTCAACAACAATCAACAGCTATTCAGTCAACTAAATTCCATGTTTGACTTTATAATGATAACTTAGATTCATTTGTCAGGAATCCTTGATGATTTATAAGTGGTATAGCATTCCCAGTACAGAATAACATTTCACATTTAAGCTACCTTGACTTTAGTTGTATGCTGAATTGCTCAAAAATCTATTACACTATATGAACACCCCAATCCTATTAGATTAAAAATTACAGTTCAGTAACATTTGGGTTATCAAGCAAGGATCCGGAAATTTTTCCAGACAATTTCGGTCATTTTGAGATGTTTGAAAAGTTGGTGCCCCTTTTCAAATTGTCAATATCAACTTGACTATATTCATAGCATCAACGAACATAACGAACTTGTATTGCTGTTTCATCGCATTTACTAAGTAAATATCTTACCATTACCATGAAGGACAGTTTAGGGAAGGCAACAGTCTAAAATTGAAATGATTTTAATGACTCAAAATGTTTAATTTCTCAGACATTGCTTACGTTTCTTTCGTTTTGACAAAAGTTAAAACCGGAAGTTTGCGATATTTTAAAGTACGAATAATTCCGGATTCATTTCCTGGATTGTTTTGTTTATCAAACTAACAGGAAATCACTGGCTTTTTATGGCTTTTTTATTTTATTACCTTTAAAAGTGTTTGAATATAACAGATAATAGTTGCACTCGTTTAATTTAGGATGAAATCAATTTGCATATTACGATTAAATATTAAATTTGCTGAAGACAATTTCACGCATGCGTATTACATAGTAAATAAAGCACATGTGTTACTCATGAAAAAATGCTTTTTTCTATGTTAATTTAGATTTAATTTTTAAATCAGAATTGATGACTGTCTTTGATGAAAAGTAAATAAATAATGAATACACTTGTCAGGGAACTTTAATGTTTTAAAGATATTATTCTGAGCTTGTGATCACTGTCAGGTGTGAATTAAAACCACAGGTAAAAAGTGATTAGCGATCATTAGCCAATGTTTCCCGGAGGCATTGATATAGATATTAGGAGGGCCCTCAGGATTATCAAACTACTGTAGTGGCAGTTTTATTACAGGAAAGGGATTATAAACAAAAACAAGTGATCACAAGTGCAAAATGGCGATTAAGAAATCCGATTTCACACATTGAGTCAATGAAATGACCGAAATTACTTCTGTAAAAAAATAAAATTTGTCCTAAATCCCAATTACTCGTTTAGGACAAAAAGTTTCATCTTAGGACATGACTGGCAAATATGACCGTTTCTGGACCCTTGTTATCAAGACCTATATTTCAACTGGTGGAATACAGGGTAATACAGAGATCATTGAAGAATGACATCTTGTTTAAATCATTGTAATACAAAAAAATAAACTAGGATATTCTTTGACTTAGAAGAATTTAGTGCTTAATCCTTTTATATTCCAGATATTTTGAAAAACAGATGGACCTTGCAGAAGCAACTAAACTTCCATTATTTCTTCACAGTCGAAATTGCCATGCAGACTTTATTGACATAATAAAAAGAAACCGAGATCGATTTAAAGGTGGGGTGGTAGGTAAAAGTTCATTATCAATGCAATTTATATGATAGAAGATAAAGTTAAAAGAACAAGTCACTGTTTCTATATGAATATTTTCTTATTGTAAATGAAACTTTAAGTTCATTAGAAATTTAAGAAAAAGAATACAAAATGTGGATGGTTAGCCCAATCTTCATATATACTGTAAAATCTATGTTTATAGGGAACAGCCAATATTTAAGCCTGCATATACCTAATTGTTTAACTAATTTGAATGCATATTGGTTTTTTTTATGAAATCAACAAGTAAAATAGCACTATACATTCTTAAAAGTTGATTCGTATAATAGACCACACCAACATCCAACTCCTCAGAAAAAATAGACTTATGAACAAGGACAAACAAAAAGGAACAACACATGGTCCAGATAGCCAAACTTGGTACAGCACAAAAATGTGGTGGAGTTAACCAGTTTTACACCCTCCTTTGCATTCTTAGCATATGTTATAAAAGTAAAACACACAATAAAAAACCTGCACAGTCCAGCTACCAACAGAATGACCACTTTCTATAACAAGGAAATAAAAGATGGCATATACTTTGGAAAAGAAGGTCAACATGTGCTCACAGGAAGGTGGCTGCAGCCATAGCTGGTATACTGCTGAATTAGAAACTATTAAGGATGTACACCTCTGAGGAGTCAAACATTTCTAGAATTAAACTTTTTTTCTTAACCTGATTTTTGGGTTTATATGACTGTAAGAAAGTAATTGATGAAGAAAAAATCATATGGTGGTGCACTTCTTTTTTTGCTATGGCCATTTGAAAGTACCCCATTTTTAATGATTTCCCATTTTTCATCAATTTTTACCCATTTTTGGGCTATTATCATGAAAAAAAATCACAGTTCCACAATTAAACTTTTTTTCATACTTTCACTAAAGATGAAGTGGACCAATCTGAATAAATTTTACTTTAAAAAACTATATGTTGGTGTTAATATTAGAAAGTTTTATAAAATTTTGTTGCTTTTTCGTGTCAAATTGACCATGCTGTAAATTTTGTAAATTTTGGATTTTTCTCTTTTTTTTTTAGAACAAAAAGCATATTATTTCAACTTCTTTGTTATAAATGATTGAAAAAATACATATCTAAGAATTTTATTTTGAAAAGAAAAAATTGATATGGGATGTACATATTTTTGGTAAAATCATTTCATTGTACCATTACCCATTTTCTCAACACTATGGCTGATGACACTGACCGGATTGGTTTTAAAATTTTAAAATTTTATTACTCAAAAACTTCTTATTGTAAGTACACAAATTTTTCACAGAGTTTAGTTTGATTGTAATATTTTTTGAATTCATTAATATTTTCCACTTGTATCACATGTTTTGGAAATAATTCCTGAACGAGATTTCAACGAGACTGAAACATCAGAAGAATACATCCTTAACACTCAAAACATGTTTCATGAATCTCATCATCATATTTCATGATGAATTTTTAATGGCAAGCCAGGTCTGCCAAAATGTTTGTTTTTACAAATTTCTGACAAAACAGTAACCTAGTTTCTACAGACCACATCTTTTTGGCCATATAATACCTCCTTGTGTTCATGAACTACCTATGCATGCATTAAGAATTAGAGGTAATACCTATTGCTGATACCATTAATGTAGTGGCCATCAAATAACTCTAACCCCCCCATCAGATTTTGGCTACTTTTCACAGTTTCCCGATTTATAACTCAAAGAAGGGCATTAAAGTTGTCATATTTTCATAACAACGCACCTTGAAAGAGTTTATGGACCATGAATTGCAAGATTGAACTCCCTGCTGTCAACACAATTCAGCTGGGGCAGTTCTAAAAAGAATGGAGGGTCATGTGGGCTATAAAAGAATGGCTGTTGCAATCACAACTACAGGCAGGATTGGGAGTGAAGGTGTTAAAAAAGTGTCAATGTTAAAAAAAATTATAATCATTAGAATATTTCATCATGTCAAGATTAAACATAAAGATAAATTCACATTAAATCAGTATATTCTTCATTTAGGTTCATTCCTTTACTGGTACAAAGGAAGAGGCAAAAGAATTGGTTGATCAGGACCTGTATATAGGTATCAATGGATGGTAATACATGTATAGTTTGGTGTAAATAAGTATTCTACTAAAATTAGAATAAATTTCTATGGTCAACACATTCTGACATGAAAAATTGCAGAAATTCTTTGGATTATTGGTTAAGAAATTGATAATATTTGAAATGAATTTTAAAAGTTAAAGACATTGATTTTATTAGAAAAATTTACTTTAAGAATGCTTTGAAAAAAATCTTATACCCTAGCTAGGGTGAGACAGCAGAAGCATTTAGTTTAAACTCTATCAGTCCATCCATTCATATTAGGTTTCCATCCAACACTTTATAATATTTAAGAGCAACATATAAAAAAATAAGGATTTGTATAATAAAAAATTTGGGTTATTCCTCTTAATTGATTGTGCTGCAAACTTTGTTTTTGTAGTATTATGTAGCAAAATTGGGCTTTGTCATTTTACATATGGGGAAGATTGTCTATGCAAAATAGTTTAAAGCTCTATAATGCAATAGAACATAATTTGCAGAATTCAGAAATTTTGCATTTACTGTTTTAAGTTTTAATTGATTGGTTTTTGGTGGTTCCCATATAGCAAAACATTGATTTGCAATTTCTATATATTAGGATTTTAAATAATAGAAAAATATAAAAATTTAATATCAAATCATTGACTTTGCATTTACTACCTTCACAAGTTTGTGAATGCAAAATATTGGATTGAACTGAAACTTGACAGAATCACTTCTTATAACACTTAACTGTGCCCTAAAAATTTTATTTGTGTGATCAGATTGAATTTTGGGGTTTCTTCAGAACAAAACAAGGACTTTTCCATTTGGAAACTTTTGTCAGCATAAAACCTCTTACAGTTTACAATTGGATGGGACAAAATTCACCTCTAGAATTCATTTGTTTTTTTGTGTCATTGGTTTGCTGTCTCATTGAAATTTACACCATAACTCTTCTTTATGAATAGAATTACTTGTACTTTTGTGTATTTCAAAGCTTTGTGAGGTATGGATATTTGTAAGTTAACGTCATTTGATAGGAATTTGTTTATATGTGAAAAAAAACTTAAATTTTAATTTCACAGTGGGATAATGAGGCCAATTTTGTAATCATAAATTACCTTTAGTTTTAAAGTTTTCCAGTTATGCCCTTGATTACTTAGAAAAGAATTAATTAATTTGAAATTTCTAATTAACAAATTAACTTTAAAAAAATCTTTTGAATTTGTAATAAATTCACAATAAAAGTTTGGTTATGTAGTAATCTAGTGTTATTTCCATGATTTCCTCCTCGATTATTCAAACATTTTTTTTCAGTTTTTCAATTTTACCATTGACTCAATCTGCTGAACTCAGTCATATGTTTTGGGCATGGTAACTCAGTCATATGTTTTGGACATGGTAACTCAGTCATTGTTTTGGACATGGAAACTCAGTCATATGTTTTGGACATGGTAACTCAGTCATATGTTTTGGACATGGTAACTCAGTCATTGTTTTGGACATGGTAACTCAGTCATATGTTTTGGACATGGTAACTCAGTCATTGTTTGGGCATGGTAACTCAGTCATATGTTTTGGACATGGTAACTCAGTTATTGTTTTGGACATAGTAACTCAGTCATATGTTTTGGACATAGTAACTCAGTCATTGTTTTGGACATGGAAACTCAGTCATATGTTTTGGACATGGTAATTCAGTCATATGTTTTGGACATGGTAACTCAGTCATTGTTTTGGACATGGAAACTCAGTCATATGTTTTGGACATGGTAACTCAGTCATTGTTTTGGACATGGTAACTCAGTCATATGTTTTGGACATGGTAACTCAGTCATTGTTTTGGACATGGTAACTCAGTCATATGTTTTGGACATGGTAACTCAGTCATATGTTTTGGACATGGTAACTCAGTCATTGTTTGGACATGGTAACTCAAGTCATATGGGTCAATATCCCTAATGCGCCTCAAATTGAGGCACACAAAAGTTGTGCGTAAACAAAAAATCTCTGTGTAGTGATATTGGACACATTTCTATTTTTAACAAGTAACTGAGCTTACCCGTTTGTATTGATTTTGAAAGTAGAGGACCATAGAATAAATGTGTAAAAACTATGGAGCTATTAAATGTATGCTAAGTATTAAATTTTCAAAGAACTTATTGTGTGAAAAAAGGGATTTTTTACCACGAGGAGCCACATCACGAAAGGATTTTTTGGGGTGTGCTAATTTACAGAAAAATGAATCCCACTTTGTACCCCGAAAATTTAAGCACATATGTGAGAATGTCTCAGCTTCGAAACAGGCCACATACATATCCAAGTTTATGATATGGACTGAGCTACAACAGAAAACGTTACCATTACTGCCTATGGGAAATCAATTACGCATACTGACCCATATGTTTTGGACATGGTAACTCAGTCATTGTTTTGGACATGGTAACTCAGTCATTGTTTTGGACATGGTAACTCAGTCATATGTTTTTGGACATGGTAACTCAGTCCAGTTGACATATTGTATTGGTAATTTGTTTTCATTTAATATGTTTTTTTCAGTTCCTTAAAGATGCAAGAAAACATTGACGCAATGTGTAGTGTACCATCAGAGCGCCTTATGATTGAAACAGGTTAGTCATGCGTAGATTATAACAATCCCATCTCCCATTCACCTCAAATTAAGATTTTGATCATTTTATTGAAAGTGAAACTTTAAAACAATTGTCCATTTAGGTTTTAAAATATACCACACTACAAAGTCATGTTCCGTTAAAAAAAAATAAAGTAAATATGTATTTTTTAAACTGTGGGTTGGTATACACCGATATATGTTGCTCATTGTTGGTAAATATTAAATTGTGTACAAGTTTATAAAACTGAATGATTAAAAAAAATTGTCTCTCCTGTTTTATTAACAGTATGTTCAAAGGAACATGTTAATTTTTGAAAATAGACATATTTTCAAGTTACATAAAAAAAAGAGAGCCACAGAGGTGGTCTGAAAAATAGTTCTATGAAAATACTCTTCGGTTTAATTTCCCAAGTTACAATAATACTTAAAATGATAACAGGAATTACAAAATAAAAATACTGGACAGTACAACTGACCACACCAACAACACCTGACTCCTCCAAATCAACAAATGTGGTGGAGTAAAACCCAGTTTAACATATGCACAAACCTTATCTTGCATCAAAAATCATTCCTTGATTTTCTGATATCCGTTGTGTTTACTTTTATAAACTCTTATTTTGAAACAAACCCTAAAGAAAACTTTATACAACTGATAGGGATTATATTAATTGTAGAAGTTTTTGTTTTTTTGGTTTGATAAGATATTAATGAGTGTGACAGCAAATATACGAGATTTTTGTGTATTTTAATTTTTTTTTAAAATGTAATTTTTAATGTAAAAATTTTTTTAGTTGGATCAAAGTTAACTACATTGAAAAGTACTTATGGAGAATGTTTTTTATGATTTGTAGATGCACCCTGGTGTGAAGTTAAAAACACACATGCAGGAAAAAAACATGTGAAAACAACGTTTCCTTCAAAGAAAAAAGAAAAATGGGAAAAAGGAAATACAGTTAAAAGTAGAAATGAACCAGCTCATATAATGTAAGCATTCATTATAGTGGTACTAAATATTTCACTTGGGAAAAAAAGTGTAGGAGAGGGGGCGGGGGGGGGGGGGGGGGGGGGGGGGGGGGCAATACTTTATTTTTATGTTTGTTATAATTGCCTTTGCAATCCTTTTTAGAGTGTGCACTTTACAATGTAGGAGATTTGCACTGTGTTATAACTTCTTTCTCTGAGCCTTATTGGGAAATTGAAGGATTTGAACTGATAATATTTGCAGTTAAAAAAATTATAAGAAATATTGATGGCATATTGGCCTTAACACAAATAGTGACTTTTCAGGCACTATCAGTACTATGTCTTTTTTTGGCCAGAAAAGGATATACTGAAGGAGTTCAGCCACCAAAAATTACAAATCATAATTCTGCAATGGTAGAAGAACAGATACATTTATGGACTTCATCTCAAAGTCATAGTGAGGCCTTCAACATGGTGCAAAAATTCTCATCTCACTGCAAGTTCAAGACAGTCCATAGCACCAGTCTGAATGAAATGTTTTTGCTAGATATCAAACCCACTGCATCTGAAAATTAAAGAACATGTCAGCTGTATTATATAAACAAATTATAAAATAGATCTGACAAGGAAAGCTAACATAAACTGTCATATATTGGCCAAAAATGTAAGTCAGTCTCAAGTGACATCAGAATTTTACTTTTAAGTTTGTAAGTAGATGCATTTTTGATAAGTAGATGCATTTATGATATATATTATACTGCTTCCTTAAAACCCATATACTTCATTTTTGGGGGAATTATTAGCCCTAGAGATGTTTCAGTGACTTTGGAATTTTTTCATTGTTATGTTTTCTGATTAATTTTTTTTTAAAGTAATCAAAACATGAAATGATTATGGACCATTTTCTTGTTATTCTGTTGCATTAGCATTTTTTAACAGTTAAGCTGCCATATGCTAGCACCCTAGATTTGTGTTCTTCCCACTGAATGGTGAAAAAAGTGCTGTTGTTATTATCTATCTGGCTAATATGTTATTAATAACTAATTGGGCACTTTTTTCATACTATCAATTCTGGAATACAAAAAATATGACCAGAAAAACCTTAAATGATCGTCGAACAACCCAAAAGTTTTGAAGTTGCACATAGGAAGTAGTGCTCAATAGAAATCCTTATGTAGTTTATTTTCCCCTGTACTTTTGGCTAAGATGTCAAAGAACAATTATATGAAATATTTAATCGCCGGAAATTTCTTAAGACAAGTCGTTTACATTTCCCAAAGGGCAAAAGTCGTAGGAATATTGTTTATCGGCAATACGTATTACAGTAGTCTAAGTTGGCGGCAATTTTAACCTGTTACCTAGTCTTTATCTTCCTCCTCTAGCAGGAGCTTTGCTTCTACAGCGTACTTCTTTATTAACTTAGAAGTCGAAATTTACTTACCTTTTAAATTTGGAGGATTCTGATGATAGAAAGGTAATTATTATTAATCATGATATTCTTTTTGTTTGAGATGATTGTGATTTTTTAATTGATTTCAATTAAATGTATGCACATTTAAATTCCTTTTATATTATTCCGTTTATCACATAACGGTTGATAACCTGTTAAATTATAATGTTGTTGTTATTTATGAATAAACCGTAAATCGTCGTTGATTGGTTGATATATTTCAAGACGGTCTCACTAATTAGCAACAAGAAGAATTGTAGAGACAAGTAGCGACAAGAAGAAAAAAGGTAATGAACTAGCAGACCAACTAGCTAAAAAAGCAGCACAGGAGGCAGAAAAAATACAAAGCATTCCAATATTTACAAAACAAGATATACAAAAAGGAGCAAAAGACAGTGTAATGTTAAAATGGCAAAACCGATGGGACACCAGTGATAAAGGAAGAAGATATTATTCCTTTCAACAAAATGTAAAAAATACAATTCCGAAAGACAAACCGTCAACTGAAATATATCGGATAACTACTAGTTTAAGAACAGGATATTGTAATTTAAACTCTTACAAATCAATGATATGCCCAGCACTCATCGACAAATGCAGCTGTGGACAAATAGAAACAGTTGACCATTATCTACTGTATTGTGAAAATTATGAGGAGGCTAGAGAGAAACTCCGCTCTGCACTCTACTTCATAACATCAAAACTAACACTTGAATCAGAAGTATTGTTAGCAACAACAGAAAATGAAAATTACAAACATCACATAGAAGATATTCAACATTTGTTAGGGGTCTTTATTAAAGATACTGGAAGGTTCACAAAATAGATAGTTAAGGTTTTATAAGGGTTAATTATTTATTCACTTTTTATGCCCCCGCCGTAGCGGTGGGGGCATTAAGTTTTACCCTTGTCCGTCTTTACGTACGTACGTACATCCGTCCGTTTGTCCCAAAATTGGTTTCCGTTCTCTAACTTGAGTTTGCCTCAATTAAATGTTATGAAACTTATACACAATGCTTATTTTCACAAAACACAGATCAAGTTTGAATTTTGGTGGCGTCACTTTAACCGTTCTAGAGTTATGCCCCTTTATAAATGTAAAAATTGCAAAATTTTTAGTTTCCGTTCTCTAACTTAAGTTTGCCTCAACCAAATGTTATGAAACTTATACAAAAGGCTTATTACCTACAAAACACAGATCAATTATGAATTTTGGTGGCTTCACTTTAACCGTTCTAGAGTTATGCCCCTTTATAAATGGAAAAATTGCAAAATTTTTAGTTTCCGTCCTCTAACTTAAGTTTGCCTCAACCAAATGTTATGAAACTTATACACAATGCTTATTACCACTAAACACAGATCAAGTTTGAATTTTGGTGTTGTCACTGTAACCGTTCTAGAGTTATGCCCCTTTATAAATGGAAAAAAATGCAAAATTTTTATTTTCTTCTAAATATCAAGTTATTTTTAAAATTGGAGTTATCTTCCTTTGTCCATGATTATATTGTTGAATCAACTACAATGAATGCTTTATACAATGCAATGTTTAATTTTGACTTCCACTGATAAAACACAGATCAAGTTGAATTTGGGTAATGTCACTTTAACCATTATTGAGTTATGCCCCTTTATAAATAGAAAAATTGCTGAATTTTTAGTTTCTGTTCTCTACTTAAGTTAGCCTGAACCAAATGTTATGAGACTTACACACAAAACTCAGATCAAGTTCAAATTTGGGTAGCGTCACTTTTACTGTTCTTCAGTTATGTCCCTTTATAACTATATGATATGCAAGCAGGGGCATCATCTGTGTCCACATGTGGACACTATCCACATTTATTTTTTAATTAATTATTTAATTATTTATTTATTTATTTATTTTTTCTCTGCAGTGCCACATCATTAATACAAATGTACTAATGAGTTTTATACAATAGTGACATAAAATTACCAGAGTGATCGAAAATACAGAGAGATTATAGTGTCAAGTTGACACTTCTAAAGACTAAAGACTAAAGACAGGAAGACACATTTAGCGACAAGAAAGTTTATATACTATTAAAACAATACATTAAGAGAAAAGTCAATTAATTACAGTTGATTATTTTCTGTTTTATAAAGTTTATAATAATGTTATATTTAGTAGCACTACGTACTTTTTGATGCTTCTTGACGCTTCTTGTCTCTACTTAGTGGGACCCTTTCAAGATGTCAAACTTGCCGAGAATGAAAGTAGAATGTTATATGGATTTTAGACTCAGAAAGATCGTTGATCATAGTAAGACACACTCAAATGTAGAAAAACTGTTTATATATTACTGTATACAGGTAGGGATGTCTGAAAATGTATAAAATCAGCGAAAATCAATAAAAAGCAAATGTGAATTGGGAAAAAATATGCGGACAGAAGAATTCGGTCTACCGTACATCATCATGATCATGACATGAAGCCAGTGTCCCACTCTCAGGCACTTGTTTCTATCCATGGGAAGATCCAGTATCAATGTATATTTAGGAGCTCAAAATATAAGATGATAGTGGATCTTCCCATGCATAGAAACAAGTACCTGTGGTCAGACTTTGACATTTCAATGTTTATGATATTTTTTCTAAACCAGAACTTTTTTTTATTTTTGGGCCTTTACATTTACTAAAGACAGGTCAATCAGACCTCACCTTTGATCCCTGTAATAGTAACCCTTTGTCTGATTTTTGTCTCATAACTTTTGTACTGTAGAACTTAAATTTACCAAACTCAGTGTTCTCCCCAGGAAAGCAAGTCAACTCATACTATTGCAAACTCGTACCATGTCAATTTGTACCACTTAAAGTCAACTCATACCAACATTAACTACTAAATTTTGGAACTCACAATGTAATTCTATCTGATTGACCTATCAGAGACCATGTGTCAACTTACAAAAGAGGCAAACTAAAACATAATATATTAAATGACATGTATGTTTTAAATTGAATAAAAGAAATAAAATTTAACATAATTTTATCTCTCAAACTGCACATCTTTTTGTCAAAGATCAAACTTTGATCTGACAATTAAAAAAGTATATCCCATGACGATTTCTTTTCAACTTCATGGACAAAACTTGTGTAAATATATTTTATCATGATTGTATGTCTAAATAAACAATATAAATATTTATATTTGTTTTTATTTCAGCTAGATTCCAATTCTTGGCTTTAATATCCTAGAAGTGAAAAGACATACATGTACAATACATGATTTTATCTAGTAGCTGCATTGACAAAACCATATATATTCACGTATGGGATAATAAAACAAATCAAATGAAATATCGGGGGTCCCTCTGGGTCACCCTTACCCCCTCCTGTTTGAGAACTTGTAAACGGTCGAGATCCCCACCTTGAAACCATATATATTCTTGTATGGGACAATAAAACAAATCAAATGAAATATAGGGGAGTCCATGGGGGTCACCCCCACCACCTCCTGTTTGAGAACTTGTAAACGGTTGAGATCCCCACCCCTAAACCATACATATTCTTGTATGGGACAATAAAACAAATCAAATGAAATATAGGGGAAGTTAAC